TCTCTGAGACAGTCAGCATAGACTGCAAGAATGGTGCAGTGTAGGGAATCCTAAGTAGGGGGAGATATACTCTGCTGACCCAGGAATGAACTAAGCTGAGAGAAACCAACTGGAAATGCAATCCCAGTGCTATCACTGGAAGAGCTAAAGTCTCAGTGCCAAAGCTGGAACCCACACCTCTGGAAACCATGGCTTGAATTTCCTGCCGCCACCACTGCTGCATCTGAATCGGCACAACAGGGATAGAGTTCCAAAAGCTCTAAGAGCTGGAATTGGCGAACCGAATTGAGAGCAGAGCTGGCGGGGAGCCCTGCATCGACCTGTGTAGAGTGAGAAGAACGGGGACCCTTCCATAGACTAGGAGGTTCCAACAGAGACATTCTGGGACCGGGAAGACTAGCCAGAACAGGACGCTGCAGTGACTTCAGTCACATATTCCCCTCTCAAGCGGGATTGGTGGGGAGCGCTTGACCTGGGTGACGCCGTGGACTAAGACCCAGTAGACTAGCCCAAACCAGGTCCCTGCACCTGGCAGTGCACCCTAATGCAGTGAAGCCTTTAGCAGATTGACTGACCTAGATGGGCGGGCCCAGCTTAGGCAACCCATGTCTGTGTCTCCCTAGTACACTGCAGTGGGCAGGAACACCTAGCCAGCATGATTCAAACAAACTATAACCGACAAAGAAACTGGGCCTCCTATATATGCTTGTATGGAAGGATCAAAAAGTATGGGAAGAGGGAGTAATAAGAAAGGGTCCTCAGTCCCCAATCCTGAGAACACTGATCCAGGAAAGGTAAATGCAAAGGAGAATGAGGACAGAAAACACGCAATATCAGGCACGGCACCAATAGACATAAAGCGTTATCTCCGGGACCTCATAGACGAGTTCAAAAGTAAAGTATTTAATCAAGTAAAGCAAGATATAAGTAGAACAGTTAAAGAAATGCTAAGCACCTCCCAAGAAAAAAACAGATGGTGGAATGGAAGAACAGAAAAAAAGGGGAGAATTGTTTGATGGAGAAAATAGAGAAAATGTAGAATACATGAAGCAGGTTCAAAGAGATTACCAGGAAACTAAAAACTCTATTCAAAGCTGGCAAAACAGCCTGAAAGAAACTAAGGCTAGATTATCTGAACTGGAGAACAGATTTGTAATGCAGGAGCATGAAAGGAAAAACTTCTTAAAAATAACAAGGAAACAAGCAGTAACAATACAAAGGCTAGAAGATGATAAGACGATCTATAACTTAAGAATTAAGAATGTAAAGGAAGAAGCAGGGATACAAACAAATGAACTGCAAAGGCTATTCACAGAAATAATCAAGGAGAACTTCCCTAATATGGAAAAGGTAACGATACTCAGATCTATGAGGCATACAGGACCCCAGTCACCTACAACCCAAACAGAACTACACCTAGGCATATAATAATCAAAATTCCAGAAATCCAATATAAGAACAGAATATTAAGGGGCTGGGGATTTAGCTCAGCAGCATAAGCGCCTGCCTTGCAAGCAGGCAGTCGTGAGTTCGATCCCTGGTACCGATAAAAAGGAAAAAGACAAAAAAAAAAGAACAGAATATTAAAAGCTGTCAGAGACAAGAAACAGATCACTTACAAGCAAACACCCATCAGAATTACAGCAGATTTCTTGGCACAAACCATCAAGTCAGGAAGAGCATGGGGTGAAATAATTTAAGCTTTGAAAGACAATAACTGGGACTGGGGATTTAGCTCAGTGGCACAAGCGCCTGCCTTGCAAGCAGGCAGTCGTGAGTTCGATCCCCGGTAACAATAAAAAGGAAAAAGACCAAAAAAAAAAAAAAAACTTTAAAAAAAAAAGACAATAACCTCCAGCCAAGATTGATATGGCCTGCACAACTGTCCCTAGAAATTAATAGAGAAACAAGGTGCTTCCAGAATAAAGAGGAACTAGGGGAATTTGCAACCACAAATTCAACTCTGCAGAGAATACTTCAGGACATTCTAAAAGAGAAAAATACCAAGTTTCCAGAAATATTGGAAGAGAGGCCACAATGAATGAAGCAGAAAGTGAAATGAAGACGACAAACTGACAACTAATAACAGAAAAAGAGTTCAACAGAAATGAGGCAGAGAAGGTTGGATGGTAGGAACAGCTATTTTGGAGAAAACAATACATCATAATAGCTAGTGTTGATTTAATATCATCTTGTTTTGAAGTCCCATCAAGCTTTTGTTCTTCTGTCTCCATTGGTCTTAACAAGTTGTATCTTATTGGATTTTATTATATGTGAAAATATAAACAAAAACTTTTATAGACAAAGAGATAATACAGAAACCATTGTTCACTTTCTGTTAGTTGGTTCTAAACACCCTGTAATACTGTCATTCTCTTGAATGGTTTTACATTGTCTTGATATGTTTGATGCTACAGTATACGAAGTTATACTCAAAGATTTCAAGGAAAGAGACTATGGTAACTCCTTTTATGTCGGGATATCTTGTGGTAAAACACTATTTTGCTTAAATGGTTATGTTCTGACTTGTGCTGTTTTGTTGTTATGTCCTCTTTTATCTCAATCTCCTTTTTTAAATTATTTTGTCTTTTTAATTAAGGGAAAAAATAAAAAATAGCAGGATATATTATAGTAACCCACTTTGATTTCCTAGTAACTTGATTTGAAACCCTGCATTCCTCTCACCATCTTGTTTTGACTGATTTTACTCTATTCTGTTTTGCTTGATAGTACCAAGTTTGAGAGTATAGGCAACAACTGTGAAGACAATAAGACTATGATGCCCAATTTTTACTATTTTACTATTTTTACTGTTTTACTATTATCTTCTTTTGAAGTCCTGTAATGTCTCCAATGTTTTGGTTTTATTGGTTTTGTTCTTTACTGTTTTGTTCAATTTTATTATAACTGATGATATAGGCAATTCTTTTTTTTTTTTTTTTTTTGTCTTTTTCATTTTTACTGGTACTGGGGATCAAACTCATGACTGCCTGCTTGCAAGGCAGGTGCTTATGCTGCTGAGCTAAATCCCCAGCCCCAGGCAATTCTTTTTAAGATAGCAAGAGGCATCATGGTAACCACTGTTGATCACCTTGTATTCTGTTTTTACATTATGTACTATGTCCAGCCTTTGGATTTTTTAAAAAAATTTTTTATTTAAAAGGAAAAAAAGAAAAACAAAACAAAACAAAACAGTATAAGGGTACAAGTAATACAGAATCATTAAAAAACGGTAAGAAATCACTAGTAAATAGATTACATATTGTCATCTTAGAAATAGTTGTTCAAGTTACAGGATCAAAGCATACAAAGTGGACATTCAAACAGTGAGACTGCAAACAGTTGTGTTCAATGATCCAACAAAAACTTAGTAATATGGTCATCTATCTTACCACACCTAAACACACTTGCAGTTGTATCCTTTAGAGTACTTTTTTCTCTTCTCTTTTTTACAACAAAATTTATACATTTTGGGTTTTATTATTCCCACAGTTCTTATTACTTTTTTTTTTTTGGAAGAGAATAAAACCAAATATGACAAATCAAAGCAGTTAGTCAAAACAAAGGATAGACATAGCACATGATGTAAAAACAGAGTACAAGGTTATCAACAATGGTTACCATAATGCCTCTTGCTTCCTTAAAAAGAATTGCCTATATCCATCCTTTGGATCTGACTCTGTTTTGATATGTCACATTTGGTTTTATTTTCTTCAAAAAAAAGTAACAAGAACTGTGGGAGTAATAAAACCCAAAATGTGTAATTGTCATTGTAAAAAAAAGAGAGGAAAAGAAAGTGCTCTAAAGGATATACCTGCTTGTATATTTAAGCGTATAAGATAGATAACCGTATTACTGAGTTTTTGTTGGATCACTGAACAGAACTGTTTGCAGTCTCACTGTTTGTCCACTTTATGTGCTTTAATTTTGTAACTGGAACAACTATTTCTAAGATGACAATATGTAATCTATTAACTAGTGATTTCCTATTGTTTATTTTATTTTTGAAATTCTGTATAACTGGTACCCTTTTTCTGTTTTTTTTTTCTCCTTAAATAAAATTTTTTTTAAAATTTGATTATATACTTTATAAAACCTTTCCATTTGCTCTATAAAAGGTGATATTTGAACTAATAAGTATTTTTCTGGTAATGATTGTATATCTGTGTCAATATACTACAAACCACAGGATTGTACAATTTAAACAGGTGAGTTTTATGATATGTATATTATTCCTCAATTTTAAAAAAAAGAAAGTATTTTCTTCTGGAATTTGATTTCTAATATTTTTAATGTATTCAAAGTATGAGTGACATTCTTACAGGTTAATGCCTCTAACACACTAATTTATGTACTTTTAAACACTAACTGTCAAATTTCAAAAGCTGCACATTGTGCCCATGAGCACATTAGCACTATGGCTAATTCCTAACGTTCAAATGCATCCGTTCATCTCTTCTTCCTTACTAACAAGATCTGGTTTTTTTGAGTATTGCAACATGATCAGTTATAAAATATTTCCTTCCTTTGTCCTGCCTACTGTCCAGAGTAGCTATACAATACTGTCCTACTTAATGAAGAATAAACAGAAATCTGAACTTCTAAGAAATCTGTTTTACACTAACAGAGGGACAGGCCGGCTGGCACACCTCTTTGCCTTGTCTTTTTGCTCTCTTCTAATTAGAGTTTGGACACAGTAGTTGTAGCTGGTGATACAGCAATTATCTGGTGAACCTGAGGATAGAAGATAAACTAAATTAGATGGCCAGACTGAAAACTAGAAAGAGATTTCCTTGGGGATCTAAACTAACCCTCAGCAGTCTATTTTCCAAGTTGCTTAGATGAGAGAGAAGTACACCCTTATGTGGTTTGCCTAGTGTGGCTGGGACTCTGTTCCACACAGACCCATGCAACACACTGAAATGAAAATACAGTTTCTATACGCTGACAACTAAATCAGTGTATCAGTAAGTTCTAAAGGAACCCCAGGGAAAGCATACCTTCATAGTATTTGGTTTCATACCACACCGGTAAGTCTTTGCTATCTGTGGAGTAAGCTGGATTTCCTTGGTAAGCTGCCTCCACTTCCTACACTCAGGTTTTGTACACTGCACCTAGAAAGGAAATGAGTCCAGGTTAGTAGCTCAGCTCATCCTGAGCTCCCACTTCTATCCTCCATCTCTCACTCTGCCCTCTGTTAATTTCTCAGTGTGACACATAATCACAGTATATATGGTAATTCATTAGGGGACGCTGGGTGAAGGACTTACGTGAATTCTCAGCACTATCTTTGCAACCTTCTATAAATGTTAAACTGTTCAAAAATTAAAAATTTATTTTTAAAAAATGTGGATATCCATATGTAGAAGAATGAAGTCATACTGACTTCACACACACATAAAAATTAACTCAAAAGGGTTAAACACCTAAACATAAGAGATAAAATAATAAAACTCTTAGAAGGAACACAGGGATAGGTTTTCATGACCTTCAATTCAGCAGAGGATTCTTCGTCATTATTCTAAAAGCATGAACAAATTTTTTTTTAAAAGAAAAGCGAAATTTAACTTGATCGAAATTTAAAACTTTCATGAATCGAAGGGCATTAGCAAAGTGAAAAGATAACTCAGAAAAAAATATTTGCAAATCATAGATCTGATAAGGGCTTAGTGCCTAGAATATAAAGAATTCTTACAACTCAAAAACAAAAAGGTAAACAACTCAAACTAAAAATTAGCCAAGGACCTAATTACACAGTTCTCCAGGGAAGATAAGACAAGTGACCGACAAACACAGGAAAAGGTGTATCCATCAGTCATTAGGGGAATCTAATCAAAACCAAAGTGAGGCACCACTTCACATCCACTCAGCTAGTACTAAAAAAGCAAGCAAGAAGTGGGGAGGAAGTGGAGAAACCCGAACCCTCCCACATGGCAGATGGGAATGAAAATGATGCGGTAGCTACAGAAAATGCACATGGAGGTCTTTCAAGGTTAGACATCGAATTACCAAGTGACCCAGCCATTCCATTCCTACATATATAGAACTAAAAGAACTCTAAACAGACATTCAAACAAATATTCATAAATATTCATACATGAATGTTCATAGCAATACTATTCACAGTACCTCAAAGGTTGAAATAACTCAAATGTCTCTGAAAAGATGAAGGGATACACAAAATAAGGCATAGCTTTCCAGAGGAATATTACTTACCTGTACAAAAAATGAAATAGTGATGTAAACTACAAGAATGAATCTCAAAACACATTGTGCAAATGGAAAAAACCACAAAGCCAGATGGCATGACTTCATTTATTTTGCTTTTTTAATGTTCTTTCTTTTGTTTTTTGAGACAGTCTTGCTAAATAGTTCAGGTTGGCCTTGAACTCACTGTCTAGTCCAGGCTGGCCTCAAATTCATGGTAATCTTTCTGTCTCAGCCTCCCAAGTGCTAAGATTACAGGCATGTACAACCACGCCCAGCTCATGATTGCACTTATGAGAAATATCCAAAATATGCAAAATCCATAAAGACAAGAAAGAGACTAGCAGTCTCTATGGACTGGAGGGTGAGTGGCTGCTACATGAGTATACACTTTGGAATTCATCGCAAGTAGTGCTGAATAACATTGCAAATACAGTAAATGTCATGGAACTGTACCTTCTAAAATGGTTAATGTTAGATGTCACGGTGCAGTGCAACAACAGAGCTTATGCCATGCACATACATAAAGAAGTGTACAATAAAATGGTTCATTTTGTTTTGTGAATTTTATTTCAATTAAAAAATTTTAAGTGTGCACAGAGTAGCCCAGAATTAGTTATACTAAGAAAGTCAGCTAATCATTTAATTGGTTGTATATGTATATGACATACGCAACCACTAAAATATATTTTCAAAGAGTGCCTAAATGAAAATAATGACAATATGAAATTAGATTTAAAATGAAGTTATTAAAAACTATATTCTAAGTATGGTTTTTAAACTTAGTAAAGATTTGTATATAAAACACAAAATTATGTTTCAATTGACCCAAAAGTATAAACAGAAAAAAGGCTGCAAGTGTCACATTTAGCAATGGCAATCATGAGCTGGCAATCAATCTGTGGTTTTGTCCTATACTCTGTTGAACTAAGCTTTCTTCCTTTTTTTGTATCAGGAATCAAATTCAAGACCTTGTGCTTGCCAGGTAGGCACTGCGCTGCTGAGCTATATTCTTAGTCCTTTTTTTTTTGAGACAATGTCTTGCTGGTAGTAAGGCTGGCCGGGACTTGCTGTGCAGCCAGCATAGCCTCAAACTCACAGCAATCCTCCCGTCTCAGCTGCCTGAGTGCTGGAATTACAGGCACCTGCCACAATGCCCAGACTAAGTTTTCTACAAAAAAAAAAAAAATTTTTTTAATGTTATTTGCTATAATAATTATAGAAAGAACAGTAAATGTAAAAAACAAAGACTTTCCCAAAGCCAGTCTTCCCCCATTCCTCTTGCTGTTAGCTTCACAAATGCCTCACAGAAGAATGCAATAACACTTCCTTACCCAGTAAGGGAGCTGCTGGTCGGCCATGAATGCTTTGGGGCTGGGCTCCGTTTTGCCGTTGCTGGTCCAAATTTTTTTCCACGTAATATATTTGTCATATCCATCTTTATGGCTGAAGACAACAGAAACAAATGAACCAAGCTGTGAGTTAATCAGCTTTTCAAAACACAGATTTCACTAGCTTTGTCACAAGGAGGGACATTACTATGACCTCCACACAGCAGGCTGTCAGAGGGGTGCTTAAAACAAACAGGAAGGTTAGATTATTATTTGAAGGAAGAGTTAGAATATATGTGAATGCACCCTGAAATCTTCAGGCAGTCACTAAAAATTACATAAAGATATGAAATAATTACAATTATAAAATGCTCAATTAAAATTAGAAAAGGCAATAAAAAGAGGAACAAAGAGAAAACTGTACCAATACAGAAAACAACCCCGTGATATATTTTAATTCAACTATAAAGATAATCACTTAAAATAACAGAAACACATAAAAGGCAGTTGTAAACTAAACAACTTATTTTTAAATGACCTTGGATCAAAGAGAAAGACTTAGGGTAAATTTAAAAACACTATATACAAAAAGAAAACAATAATAAAATCAAAATTTGTGGAACACTGTGTAGCTAAATCAGTACTTACAGGGAAACTTAAAGAGTACTGAATGCAGTTATTTAAAGATGACCAAAATCAATACACTTAAACTTCTAACTTAAGGAACTAAAGGAGAAATCTGATGTAAGCAGAAGAAAGTAAATAAAAATCAGAGTATAAGGAAATTGAAAATAAAACTAAAACCAAAATCTGATTCTTTGAAAAGATCAATAAAACTTCTATGCCACCAATCAAGACAACTGAAAAGAAAGGGAAAAAACAAAACTGATAAGGCCACTAGCTGTCAGCACCTTTGTCTCCTATTTCTGAATCCTGACCCTAGGCTCTGTCACAGCTGCTCTGAGATCTCTCAGAACTTGCAGACTATAGGGAGTAAACTGTTCCATGAGAGACATGTTTCAAACCTTGAGTGTGTGCACACATAACCATGCACATGCATAAACCACAGAATCAAGGTCCTGGTCAGAGTTATTGTGACTGCTGTAGCCACAGCTGAAACAGCACAATAGCTCAGAAAGCCTAGAGAATAATCCTTAACCATTTGATCCCACTGTGGCCCCCACCAAGCACAAGCTAAACACTAGCAAACAAACCTTCTGTAGTAATGGTCAAAGCATTCGTTGCAGAAATGTTCCCCACAGGAAAGGTGATACCATCGGGATGTGTAGCCATTTTTGGCACATCTGAAATGAGCAAAAACATAGTTTGCTAATGAATAAACATTTCTTTTCACTTAAAAAAATTAGCAGCAGGTTCTATTCCATTATCTCCACTCGGCACTCCTATAGCTATGGGCCAACAACAGGGGAAACTGCATGAATGACAAGAGAGCACTGGTCGAGTATCTTTTATCTAAAATGCATGACTCCAGGAATGTTTTGGATGTCAGATGCCTGGATTTTGGACTATCTGCATGGGTTATCTGGGGGATGGGAGCAAAGTCGAAATACAAAATCCATTTGTTTCATATGTATCTTACATCATGACCAAAGGCTATGTACAAAATTTATGTTATATATAAAATGTTTAAGGCACCTACACTTTGCCTTAGGTCGATCACATGAGGGCAGGTGTGGAAGTTACCACTTGGAGTGTGATATCATACTACCACTCAAAACAACTTGAATTTTAAAGTGCTTTGGATTCCTGATTGGAGAAGTTCCACACATACTACACATGAAGGTTAAAGGGAAACTGACCAGTTGTACCTAACCTAGCTGGCTGCCCGGAATCTCGCCAAGACTCCCTAGAGCTTTGAGCGTGTTTCACAACACAAAGCAATGACGTCACTGCACTTGCTCCAAGTCACACAATAACACTGGCTCAGTACTGGAGTCATGGATCTGGCCACCTGCACTCTGAATACTAAGCTGGTGGTAAGCAACACAACCCGACAAATAGCAGGTAATACTGCCAGAGAATGAAGAGCCACACCATAGGAACATCATCACCACCACCCTCTTTCTGTGCCTAAAAACAGCAGGATTTGTTTCCTACATTTTATTGAACAGGCTCACATTGATGATTTTTCTGTGCACGTTAAAATGGTTACATTTGTCCCATCCCAACAAAAATGGCAAGACTGCAGTTAACTACACAGTTTCTATGAGACCTATGTACGGATACAGGAAGAAGAGTCATCTTACGTGAGGGAGAAAAGAAGTACAGTAAAAAGTGAAAAGTAAACAGGGCTGGTCTCTACTGGAGCATGAGAATGCTTTCGACTGTGTCGCCACGCTGCACCTGTCCCCCAGTCAGCCCGGACAGGTGCAGCTGAGGTTGGCTGCACTGGAGGACGCTGTATTGCAGAATGGATATGGGTGTGGTCCCTTCCTGCAGAGTAACAGGGTGTGTTGAGGGGGCTGCCAGTGAGCAGCAGATGTCTGAGCAATGTCTCTATGACCAGGAAACTTCCAGTACCTACTTCTTCCTTTAGGAAAACTATCTTCACAGATGATTTCCCCCCTCACATGGTCTCACAGACAGAACGCAAGGCCAACCCTGTCCGGTTAAACAGACCTTTCTGAAGCACTTGCAAAGCACACGGGACACGTTGCTGTGCAGCCTGCCTTTTCACACTTCCGGTATTTCTTCTCGGACACACCATCTTCATCCTCGTCCGCGGTCTCTGCTACTTTTTTCTTTGCCTGTGAAAGCAGCAGCTGAGGTTAAAACTTCATAGGACAAGAGGTGACAGCAGTGGGAGGTTTACTAAAATCACATCCGTGTTAGAAGTTTTTCTTTTGTTCTGTTTTTGCAGTGCTGGCTATGGAACCCAAGGTCGTCTCATCAAGCTACATTCCCAGTCTGTCTATCTATTTATTTAGACAGGGTCTTGCTTAATTGCCCAGGCTGAGTTCCAACTTGTACGCTTCTTGCCTCAGCCTTCCAGAGTACTGGGATTATGAGTGCGCACCATTACACCAGGCTGTGTCAGAAGCTCTAAATATAAAGGTCAGCAATATCCTGGCGGAACAGGAGCTGACTGACCTAGCAAGTTCTTCACAACTGCACTGTGCAAATAATTCACTACCGTGTCAGACACAGAAACAGCTCTTCAACCTCAAGTATCCAACAATGCAAATGTATGTGAGCCTTTCTGAGGAAAGAGTGACATTAGAATACACAAAAGCCACTCTCAAATTAAGAATTTCTTCTTTCTTTCCTTGGAAACCTTTCAGTACTACAGATTTTAAAAAAAACTAGAAAAAGTTATGTCGTTCAATTTTTCTCGTAAATAGACAACAGCTGTACCCAAGGAAAAGAAGGACCAAAGCCTTACAGGTAAAGTTCTAGCTGCACCCAAGCGACTCTGCACTGAGGTCTAAGTTGCTCTGAACGACATCCAAGCCAAGCAGGATCTGGCCTGGCCTCCTACCCTGGAAGCAACAGCACTGCTGCAATTCCTGGATCGCCCTGTGCTGATTCACACAAGCCCTTCTCCTCACAAAAGCTCTCTTGGCCAGTAGGCCACTGTTTGCCACATCTTATCACTTTATCATGCAGGGTTTTGAAATATCACAATTTCTCTACACAGTCGATTTGAGGCTTGGAGTTAGTCTTTCCAGAGCTTACTCTTCAGGCCTGGTTTTAATATTTTTGTATCCTCAGAAAAGGTTTGTTGAATGAACAAATGAATAATACCTGTCTCCCGGAGCTCCTCAAAGGAAGGCTATCTGGAGTTAGATCAAACGCTGTTCTTTTCTTTGACCTCCCGCGAGGGGCTGCCATTGTATTAGAGACCTAAAATAAAAAACAAAAAGACAAAATTTTCACCATTAAGCATCAGCATCTGCTAGAGTTTTCAACAACCTAAAGTTATTAGATAACTTAGTAGGAATTAGTGCATAGTCTGCAGTCTGCAGTGTGTAGCTCAGTGGTAAAGGATGAGATTAGCATGCATAAAGCCCTGGACTCAACTCTCAGCATTAAAAATAAATAAATATGCTAGTTGTTGTGGTGCACACCTGTAACTCCAGCACTTAGGAGGCTAAGCAGGAGTACTGCCATGAGTTCAAGGTCAGCCTGGGCTACATAGTAAGTTCAAGGCCAGGTTGAACTACACAGTAAGACTTTGTCTCAAATAAAAAAAGTAGTTAAAGAGGAAATGAAAATATAAGCTATAGAAGTCATTATTAAACTTGAAGTTTTTTTCAGCTTAATAATGTAAATGAGATATGTACTGACATTTTTTGCCACTTATTTTCATCTCCGTATTTCCACTGTTGCATGTCTTGAAGGAAAGAAAGAATTTACATAAAGCTGGAATGTTTAAAATTGTTGTGCTTTTAAACACAACTTTAGAAATACTAAACTGTAATTAAACCAGTGTACTGAAAGTTTCCCGTGATTCTTCAAAAAACACAATTAAATATAATCATTTGATTTCATGTTCAATGTTTATATGCAGATTTCTTCCTAATTTTTCAATGCACAGATTTAATTTTAATGTACTAAAACGTGGGCTGGATCTTTGTGGTGTCTTCGTAAATACATAAGTAGAAATATCAATATGCAAATTTGTATTTGAATAATCCCAGGTTTCTGCTTTCACTTTTTTCCAGCATTGGGGATAGAATTAGACCTTTCATACTGAATTACAGTCCCAGCCCTTTCTTTATTATGAGGGAGGATCTCATTAAGTTGTTAAATTGCCCACACTGGTCTGGAACTTGAGATCCTCCAGCCTCAGCCTCCCAGAGCGCAGGGATTTACAGGCATGTGCAACCACACTTGGCTTCAAGACGAGTTTTTTAAAACACAAAATTCATGAAAACATGAGTCAAAGGAGCTTCAGGTTAGATTACGTATAGAATAGTCAGCATAATTTTTAGAAATTGGACAAACTACTAAAAACTTAAAGGTATTTTTTACCGTTTCATTTAAGACAGAGCAAAACTAGCTTCCTGTCATTCCCACACTAATCGAATTTTTATAAATATAGACCGAGTACAATAATTCAACACTGAATTATTACAATCTTCAAAATCCAGTTCAATAATTCAGTACTGAGTCCTCAAGTGCTTGGATGTCTTCAATTGACTACTTCCCTCTGCCTAGAAGATAATTAATTATTGATGGTGGTTGTCTTAAGCACCTCCCAAAGAAAACCTCCCCCTCCTCACCTGCCTTTCTTCAGCTAAAATAGATATAAAAACAAAATAATAACCGGCAACAAAAGTGCGGAGCTGTGTGTACATATGGGGGCTCCCTCCTCAACCAGAATGGCCACAGAGCCCAGAAAACTCACCCAGAGGACGACTGGGCCTCTACCTGGCTGGGTTCCAGATCCCTGAACCCCCAACTTGGTCCAGCTGGGCCTGGCCCCGTCTTCCCCTCTCGCCCACCAGCTAGCGAAGTGCGGGTCGGTGCTCCCTTCAGCAGGCGCCCACCTCGTCGCCGCACTTGCCGGGCGCCGCGGACTCCGACTCTCGAGACGGGGGTCCCTGAGGGGCCGGGCTGTGACAACCCCTACAAGGGCGCCGCAATGCTCCCCGATGGGCATAGCGCTGCCCTGGGCTCGACTCTGTGTGGAGGGACTCGTGAGTCTCGGGGCGCAGGCACCGCCGAGCAAGGGGAAACCTGCAGGGGGTCGGGGAGCCGGGTACACCAACAGCCTGGCCCGGGAATTCCCCTCATTCCACGGGGATCCCCAGCCCGCAGCCCTTCCCATCGCGGGCGGAAAGACGGATCCGCTCCTGGGACCCCAGCTGCCTCCCGCCGGGAAGAGGGGCGCTCCTGGGGACAGGAGGAGGGTTCGATCCCAGCCCAGCCGCTCAGTGCGGCGCTGTCACCTGAAAGCCGCCACCGCCCCCACGCCCGCCCGCTGAGCCGCGAGCAGCCTACCTCAGAGCACCGAGAGCCGGTGCGAGCTCTGGACCGCGGGACCCGCCGCGCAGCCCGCCGCAGCCCCACTCAGCCGCCGCCGCCGTCGCCGCCGCTTCCGCCCCTCTAGCGGCGTGACCCGGAGTGGGCGGAGCCGTGGGCACGGCGAGCCTGGGGACCGCCCCGCCCCCGCCGGCACGCGCCCCGCCCCGGCCACTTCCGCCGTTGCGCAGACCTGGCCTGGGGGGCGGGGCCTCGTGCTTCGAGAGGGGCGTGGACTTGCGTGAGGAGAGGGCGGGGCCTGGCGGGGCCCCGGAGGGGGCGGGGGCCTGTGCGCCCCGGGAAGGGAGGGGAAGAGGTAGGAACAGCAGTGAGGTGACCACAAGCTAACTGCGGGCGACTGACGAGGTGGGTTCCTGCAGGGCGCCAGAGAGGGTGGGAATGCGAGCAGTTTCCTTGAGGGTGTGAGCCGGTGATGGTTTCACCGGGATGGGGCATCTGCGCTGCAAAATGGGATGCAGGGCATAATGAGGTTCACAGTGAAGGACTTGAACGCGTGAGTTGAAGTGAGCTGCAGAGCACCGTCCTGCACCCAGAGTGTTGAGGGGGAGAAGGATGGACCTCGCTGGGCGGGCGGCCCGGGCGGGGGCGCTGTGCAGACTCGGGCACCAGCGGTGGCACCCGGGCTGCGCAAAAGGAAAGGGGTTATCGATTCACAGGCGAGCTGTGTGTGCCCTGGGGAAACTACTCTTCAATTTAGGAAATTTAAAAGTAAAGCAGAAACAGGTTGTTTTTTTGGTTTTTGGTTTTTTAAGGTAGAGGAAAACTTGGGGACCAAGGAACTCATTTTAGGTTAACATTTATGAGTAAAAATTATTGTGAAATTTCTGATTCGTATACTTTGCACTCATTATGTTTAGAAAGAGACTTTATGATCCATAAATGACGCCAAGTGTACACACCGAGAAGCTGTTAGAGCAGCTAAGAAGTGATTGTATTCGTGATGGAGCTATTCGTCAAGTACGTGGGGAAGGAGTTGTGCAATTTCAGGTGGTTCTAGGTGTAGGCTAAAGGTGGTCATTCATTTCCTTTTATGACACAGGAAAACAGACCTCAGAAAAGTGCAACTCACTTGCTTTTCTATCTCCACAGTAGTAGATACTTCACACTGACCTCTTAGAAAATGCTATCGTTCGTTAACAAATAATTTGCTGAGAAGTGAATTTGTTTTCCCATTACCGATGGAGCTGCCGTTTCATTTAACCGTCGGTGCTTTGAAGCCAAACTGCAACAAAAGGGAAACTTTTCCTCAAGTTCGTGCTTTTTTGTGGCGGTTTGCTATGTCATGGATAAATCATTAAGTTTGAAAAACCATAATGCATGCTACGGCGATCAAAGCTACATTAAGTTCTACTAACAATTTAATATTGGAATTATGGTGTTATATTATCCTTTGTATTACCAAGTTGACAGTGAAATATATTTTCCTTGTGCAATATATTTTGTTGGACCTGCAGTGTATTTATTTGTTTAAATTCAGTTCCTTTTATGTGCATTTTCCCATGCAAAGAAAACTGTCAGAAAATTATCTAAAAAACAAGCTTAGAGTATGGAAGTAAGATACCAAATCTATTTTTGCCTCTTCCTGAAACTCCACCAAATAACAGAAATTTTTTTAAGGAATAAACTATTGTTATGACAGTCTCAGAGATGACCACAAAAGAGGGCAAATAAACTTTTGGCCCCTTAACCCATTACTCATTTAAAACATGACTTATGCTCTGTTCTGAAGCAGTCAGAACAACTTTTGCTAAAACTCTTGATTCTTCACTTGGGCTTACCGATGCCCAACAGGTAACTAAAAGCTAAGCAAAACTTGGCTGCCGTTTGTATTCCTTATTACTTTAAAACTTAAGATGTTCGTGTGCTGATAATTTAAGAAGAGTTGGCAAAACAAGTTTTCTTAGTCCTAAATTTGTGTGGCCTATCTCATCTTCTTTCAAGATTGATGACATCAAGCTAAGAGTAACTAAAGTAATTCTCAGGATTTATAGGGACATTCAGCAAGTCTAGAATTCTCCACCATCCCAGATCTTGAAGTCCAGTAGAGCCTCTCGAGGCCGCCCAGACTTGAGACTGCCCAAGCAAAAATGTCTTTAATGACAACAGAATTTCCCCTAAAGTCAAAAGGATTCCTGTGGAGCTATGAAAGTAGGACCGAGGGATTAGCCAGACCCCAGCTCACCGCAGGGCCCCCTCCATAAAACTGCTCTCCTCCATTCTTATGTGAATAGGCCACCACTTCAGTCCCTCAAATGGAAGCTCTTTTCCTAAGTCCTCTTACTGTTCTTTGTGGGGCACCAGCTTGCTCTTTGTCAAAGCAGTACTTCCCTTTAGTTTCTCTTATTTTTTAGCTAGAGATTTTTTCCATAAATTAATATTAAATGCCTTGATTTTAATGTCCATTATCCCTGAAGCAAAGACTCACACTAGCTGATGACAATCATATCTGATGACAACTGACAGACCTTGAAGTTGAATTACTAGCAAGTACATGGAAACTTCAGAAATGAGTAAGCAAGATAGTGATTAACTATAAAGTTATAATATTGCGTGGACAAGTAATCATAGAACACCATTCAGCTTTGTCGATAAGTAGTGGTTTACCTTGTTACGGTAATGTACAGCCAATATATTTCATCAAAAATATATACTACCAGGGTATACAACAGATGAAAACATGGAGTGTGTGTGTGTCTGAGTGTGTGTGTGTCTGTGTGTGTGTGTTGGGAACCTGGAACAGAATGAAATGCTTATTGTCTAAGATACTACTTAGAAATGAAAAACTTGAGAAGATATGAACCAGCATGCTAATTGGAAATGGCATGACTCAGCACAAGACTTAGAAGTAGCCACTTACCTCTTTCATTAGGAAGGAAACTGCTATTTCCACAACAAATCTGTTGAACTCTCCAAATTGCGTCTTTCATAGGACTGATTTTTTTAAAAAGTAGCAAGTGCACATTAATATGCCAAAAAGAACAGTATAATGAAAAATTCTAAGCTTACAAAAATTATAAACTGTGGAACACTTGGTTGTTTTTGTCCTGTTTCCCCTTTTTAAAATTGAAATCATAGGGGCTGGAGATTTAGCTCACTGGCACAAGTGCCTGTCTGGCAAGCAGGAGATCGTGAGTTTGATCCCCGGTACCCTCCACCAAAATAAATAAATAAATAAAAATAAAATAAAACTGAAATAAAACCGATCTTTCCTAATATATAGTATAAGTGATACCTCTATTGCCAGACTCACTGAAAAGTTATTTTTTGTCTAGTTTTTTTATTGGGTATTTATATATATTTTTTAAACCTGTCTACTGAGGATAATGGGTTTTCATTTGGTTCAACAGTAGCCTTAAATGACAGCACTGATAATCTTTTCCATGTAGATATTGGAGTTATCTGCTTGTGAAACAGTGAAACCTGCAGAACTATGGATGATACAAAAACTTCAGTTGATACTAAAGAGCACCCTGATAGTGAGGTACAGAAATATCGAGTCATAACCCTGAAAGAGTGGCAGGACAACTGGGTAAATCACAAAATTGGATTTCATCAAGCCGAAGGACATCAGTAAGACATGTTTGATCTATGAGGGAGAGATGCTCTATCAGAAACAGACTTTGAAATAAAATAATAATGAGGTGTATGTTATTTGATTTTTTAAGATGCATTTTTTTTCATATATATTGTAGCATCTCGAAGATCAGGGAGGATCTGTGGCTAATCAGAGTTTCACTGGCAGTGTGCTTTCTTTCCTCACTGTATAAATAATTATGTGTTTCCAACTTATGGCATATTAGACTTAGGAAATATGTCTTTAAAAAATCATCTGCAGCATCCGTGTCAGTCGTGCATGTTTATACCATGCCTACAGCAAATACTAAAGCAACACTTCTGCTTTTTTGTTCTCACGAGTAGTGGTGTTCTGATGTTAAAGTGTCATCCAAATGGTGAAGAAGAGCTACTGAGGGCAGTTAATTAAGTGAGCCAAAAGGCTGAGCAAATTTTAGTAGCATTGTTATCTCTGTGACACCGGTGATAAACCATGGCGCCATGCTGAGTAGTGTGACCATTATATATGGTCCTTATTCCAAGCGGACACGTCACCCTCCCATATCATCCTCTTGTCATCATCATCACCATCATTCATACTTTTGCACACTGAGTAACAGCTTAAAGCATTATTCCCAGTGTCATTGCTACAGATGGTTACCATAGAGAAGGCCTTAGAAGAGCCGTGTCTCTAGAGAAGAAATTAGTGTTACACTTCTTTCGGAAATTTTCCATAAAATAAGTGTTGAAAATTTTATGGATCTGGAGGCTCCCTTTCCACATCAAGTAAAAAGAAATATAAATTTGGAGAATAAATATAGAATTTCCACAATGTATCAGACAAGGAAAAAGCAATTTTATTTTATTTTATTTTATTTTTTTGTCTTTTTGAGACAAGGTCTCACTATGCAGTTCAGGCTGGCCTTGGGCTTTGTAGCCCAGGCTGCTCTCGAACTTGCAATGATCCTCCCACTTCAGCCTCCTGAGTGCTAGGCTTACAGGAGTGCGCCACCACACCCGATTGAAAAAGCAATTTTAAAACATTATAATTACTTATAAGGAAACCCAGGGTATAAAGCAGATTTATCACTGCCTAGCTGTGTGACTGAGCAAGTTACTTAAGAGTCCTCCTTGTTTATATGTAAACCTGAGAGTATGATTATCAATATTATCTACTAATTAAGGTTGTTGGAAATATTGTGATAATGCATAAAAATTAGTGTTGTACGATTGCATTGTACTTTTGTGCACTGGGCACAAACAACCTTTATTTTTCTCCCCAGGCTATTAAGGAAGCATTTGGATACTTTTCTTAAAGGGGAGAGTGGACTGAGAGTGTTTTTTCCTCTTTGTGGAAAAGCAGTGGAGATGAAATGGTACGAATAAATAAGCATCAGCACACTTATCTTTGGTGATAAATCTATCTGGTGACTATAACAAGATGTAGTTATAATTTCCATTGTCAAAAAATGCACAGAGATTCTTTGAGAGCCCCCTCAAGGATTAAGATAATATTAAGTGATCATTTGAGATAATATTTTCAAAAAGACCAGATACAAATGTGACTGTTTTTCTCTGTGTTTCAAATGAAAATAACTAATTTGGAATCAAATAGACAAGAAAAACCAGCTGTCCCTCTTACATCTCCTGCATGGTTTAATAATTGTAGATGGGTTAAGAATTTAGCAAGATATTTGAAATGGAGATAGACTGCATAATTCAAAACATGCTACAATTTTTAGCAGGACAATGTTTATTATAACCCTCTGTTCCGCTCAACTCTTCCCTCCTCCTGTGAGAAAATGGGAGTTTTTGTTATTCTGAATCAGTGTTATAAAACCAGTGGTGAAGCAAGTATCCCTAATAAGTAATTCTCTATATGATTTTATACAGGTTTGCAGATCTGGGACACAGTGTAGTTGGTGTTGAAATCAGTGAACTTGGAATACGGGAATTTTTTATGGAGCAGAACCTTACTTACTCAGAAGAACCAATCACTGAAATTCCTGGTGCAAAAGTATTTAAGGTTAGTTTCAATTTTGGTTACTAAAGAAAGCATGCTATTATGCATACCTTCTCAGTAAAGGTTTTTGTGAACACCGGTAAATGAGGACCCAATGTTAGGTGGTTCCTCCTCAATCCATCACGGGTTTATTGAGACGATTATCTACTGTAAGGAGCTAGGCTTCAAAAGACAGGTGACAGGCAAAGCCTATCCAGCCAAAGCCTCTCAGTACTTATTTTGGGATTTTTTATTTTTCTTCTTGTATGGAAGTTTTTGTTTGAGGAATAGTTTTGCAGTACTAGAGATCAAACCCAAGTCCTCATGCATGCTAGGCAATGGCTCTACCACTGAGCTACATCTTCAGTGCCCTCTCCTCCTTTCTTTCCCCTAGTATCAGGAATCAAGCTCAGGACCTCGCGCTTGCCTGGCAGGCATTTATGCCATTGAGCTCTATCCCTGGTTCTCCTTTTTTTAAAGCTGCTCAGTAATAAATGTATTGTCTGCATCTGAAAATCATTGTTCAGTTTAGCTCTCTGGTGTCTCCTTTTTAGCTACCTGCTCTTCTATACAAGGGATGTTTGCAAATATTTCTGTCTTTCCAGATCTTCTCCTATGGCAGCTCACACTGTCTTATGCACTTCCTGTGTGTCTAGAGTTCCATCATGATGTACCGAGAGAACTATTTCTTGTAACCATCGCCATGTTCTTGCGTTAGGTACCATATTTATTTTGCAATGGTCTGACCCATGGATGTGCTTCCAGTGTACTTCTGCACTGAACTTGCTTTCAAAATGTCAGCCAGGGAATTGCTTGATGCACTGAGGAATAGACAAACCTCCATCCACAGCTCCCTGCAGCGCCCCAAAATGTATTGCCATTTATAGTCCTGACAAGGGCTGCATTTACCTGGCTGGTAAAGGCACCAGGTTGACTGTGCTTTCCACATAGTATTCATCTCTGGTCACCTCCAGTTGGCCTCCATAGGTGTTGTATATGCCACACCTATGGAGAAGCCTGCAGGCCAGCAGTGAGTCACAGCATAATTTCTCAGTCCAACTTTCACAACACATTTTGGTAATGCATAAGCATATTCTGTACCGACTATCCCATCCCTCTGAAAGGTGCTATCTGTCACACAAACTGTCATCCTATATTTGAGCATGTTGTACTTATTTTTGTCCTAAATTGCCAAGCATTTCTGAGCATATTAATCAGCTTTCCCCTCTTGCTTCCTTCAAAATATCACTTGGTATCTCCTCAGTAGGCCCTGTTCTTGAAAACTTTAACAATCCCCATTCTACAGAACCGAGACGCATGTCTGACTCAACGTAGACTTTTGGGCCCAGCAGTACTATTGGGAGAAAAGCCTTTTTTTTATTAAAAAGCATTTTCTGAGAACCTATTAGGTGCCAGATCCTGTGTAAGAAATTGAAGAAATAAATGATAATACAGTCCCTGCCCCCACAGAATCTCCTAGCTTACGGGGGGGGGGGGGAGACAGGGACAAAGTCATTATAATACATGGAGCAAAGTGTAATTACGGAAAGGATTAAGCAAAGGGCAGCAGGGTGACTCAGCCCAGCTTGGGGTGCTCCCTGATGCATAGTAACCAGCAAGGGAGGGGACAGGAAGGGCTCAAGGCTGTGGAGTGAGATGCCCTGGGAAAAGAGTGCTTCATTCTTCACAGTAGGCTTTTAAGTAGGAGCATGATGTGGCCAGATTGTCTTTTAAGATAAATCACTGTATGACTTCATGGGAAGTTATTTGAAGGGAAGTAGCTTCCTGGCAAAGAGATGAACTAGGAGGATGTGGGCCATGGTCCAGGAATAAAATCCTAAGGACCTGAACGAGGAGAGTGGTGGCAGCATGCAGAGCATGGCTCCTGGATTAAAGAAGCACCCACCATGCCCACCTCGTAGGACTCAGTGATTAAGCAGGGGTGAACGGGGTGGTGAGTTCTCCCTTCCAGCTCACCTACCTGGTCCCCAGAGGCAGAGAATAAAGAAGCGAGCTGAAGCTGGATGTGATGTTGCACGTTAGTAATCGTAACACTTGGGAGGCCAAGTCAAGAGGGCCGTGAGTTCAAAGCCAGCCTTGGCTTCGTGGTGAAGCACTGAGATCCAGTTTCAGAATACCCAAAGACAGAGAAAAATTTTCTGATGAGTTTAAGAACCTAAGAAATTACAAAGGAAGATAGTGTTTGTGCTGGAAATGACAGTTAGGGAAGTTATCTTTGTCCTGTGAGCAGAGTGATCAGAGAAGCTGCTTCACTAGATTGGGGTAATCATATGGAAGCAAACACATACTTCCCAAATGAGAATCCCAGAGGCCTCGTATCTGAAGACGGCCAGCCACTTGGGTTTAGCAGAAACATAGATGGGGAAGGAGCGAGACAGCTTTATGGTGGAGAAGGGGGCAGGTGTGTGCTGCAGGCAGGTGAGCACTGGCGGAAGCTGTGAGCACCTTGAAATGGGGCATCTTGGCTTGGGGCATATATTTGGCCTTCTCTGGTTGGTCTGAGTTGGAAAGGGGAGGGGATGGTAAATATCCGGGGTTGACCAGGTGGCTGCAGAGCTGTGCTTCTGTTTCTGAACTGGTTGCTAAAAGAGGTTGCAGGTCAGAGTTCTCTTATCCTGAATGGCCTGGCCGTGATCCATGTGTATACTTAGTGCCTCCCAAATACTCCTTTCTAAATATTGAAACTAATAGTTTAGAGCAGTAGAAGGCTTGATCAACATTATTTGTAGCTTTCTCCCATCCTGTCCTCAAACCATCTAAGAATAATTCTAGTTTGCTGTGTCCAAAGGGGCCCCCATCTGCTTCTAAACCCCTCTGGGGGCGGTGATGCCAGACCCTGGCTACACATTTAAAACTGTCCATGGATCTTTTCAAAATCCCCAGGGCCAAGCTCAGTGACATCAGACTTTTCTAGCAGTGGGGTCCTCAAAAGCTGCCCAGATTCCGTGCATCTCCAAACTGCAGCCAATTACATCTCCAAGATGGTACCCTCAGCCCACCCCATCCTGAGTTCCGGCAAAAGCCACCTCTGTCCACCCTCTCCCAGTGTGCCCCAAGGCTGTCCTCTGCTCTGTCTCCTTTGTTGACAGCCATGCACCACCACACCCAGCTGTCCTGAGTAATTTTTAAAATATCTGCCCATCTACATGAGCACAATCGGTAACTGATTGACCTGTGGATTTATCTTCAGCACAGTGAAAATATCAGGACTCTCTTTGAGTTAACATTGCTAGAATTTTAATAAGTTTCAAAACAAGTAGTGGCCCATTGATCTTCAAAAATGCCCTCTCAGTTTCTGCTTTGCATTGACCCCAAAGAACATCACACAAGTTTTTCGTTTGGTTTGGTTTGGGATGGTTTGGTTTTGTGGCACTGGGACTTGAGCCAAAGGCTACATCCCTAACCCATTTTTATTTTTATTTTTTATTTTTTTGTCTTTTTCCTTTTTATCGGTACTGGGGATTGAACTCACGACTGCCTGCTTGCAAGGCAGGCGCTTATGCCGCTGTGCTAAATCCCCAGCCCCAACCCACTTTTATTTTGAGATGGGGTTTCATTAAGTCACTAAATTGCCGTCGCTGAGCTCCAACTTCAGTCCTTCTGCCTCAGCCTCCCAGAGTGCTTAGAAACACATACAGGCTTTAAAAGAAAAGGCAAAGTAGTGTTAAGCTGTAGCAAACATTGTGTTTAATATGCCTCTGTGCTCTCTCTACGGCCTTTGCTTTGCATGGCCCTGTCTTCTTTCCTTAGCCATTTAAATCTCTCCTCATGCAGTAGAAAGCAGTTTTTTTTTCATTGTTTCATTACAGAGTTCTTCAGGGAATATTTTGCTGTACTGCTGCAACATTTTTGATCTGCCCAGGTAGGACCAAATAATACAGCTGCAATTTTAAATGTGGGTGTCTGATTGACATGCTTTGAAATTCTGTTGTGGTTTTTTTTTCTTTCTCCTCTTTTTCTTCTTCTTTTTATGTTTGAACAAAATGGATTTGAAAAAAAATCAAGTAAAAAATGTGGGTGCTTGTTAAGTGTGCCCCTTCCATTGCTTCCGTCCATCTGCAGAGCAGCCAGGAAGCCCAGGTCAGAGTCTCCATTCTGCAGTTATTTTTACTACAGCCCTGTTTGTCTGTGGACAGCTGCTAAACTGTGAGCTTATTACTGCCCAAGGCAAGAAGGGAAAGGTGAGGAGAGAAAGATGTGACTTCTGCCTTCACTTGGGCCTGTCACTAAACGAGTCACAAGGTATAGGAGGAGGCAGGATCTCCCCTCCCAAGAGTCCCTGCTGCCAGCCCTGGAGCTGGAGCGCAGGTGTCACGAGCACAGGTGTCTCGGCTTGCCCTTTGTTTCTCCTTTACACTCTCATGTCATAACAGAATCTGAGACTGCTGCCGCAGGACCCTAACACTGGAATCACAGGTCCCCACAGGCAGGCAGCATGTCCCCATAGCAGATGTGAAGGCCTCACTCCTGAGAACTGGTGAAGGGCCAGCGTGTGCCATAGAGAACAGTGCTCAGCTTGTTCAAGTTACCGTGTCCTGCATGTGAGATGTTACAATGTTTTCTCTCTCTCTTTTAAATTTTCCTGGCAGAGCAAATGTTGGTAAATTTGACAGGATTTGGGATAGAGGAGCATTTGTCGCTGTGAATCCAAGTGACCGAGGACGGTGAGTAACATGGTTTAATTGTGTTGTTGTTGTTAGCTGAATTCCAGGGACATATAGGGCTTCTCTTTAGTGACCTGAGTATAAAGCCTGAAGCACCACATTACTAACTCCTCTGAGCCTCAGTTTACTCCCCTGCAAAAGTGGAATATTTCCAGTAGCACCATCCCCACCACCTCCCTAATCTTTGCAAGTGGCATCTGTTGGACCCTCATTCTATAGCAGGTGTGGTTCGTTGTACTCCATGTGGGTTAACATCTTTAACCTCTCTTACAGTCCTGTAGGTACCAATGTGCTGTTCCATTATACAAGAAAGGGACAAAGGTCAGAGAGGTTCTGTCCCTTGTCTCAAGTTAGGCAAGGGGTCCCTCGCAGACTGACTCAGAGTCCACAATCCTTGGCCTTCCTTGGACCATCAAAGCATTGACGTGGGAATTAAAAGAAATGAAGCCCATGAAAAGGGCCTTGTTAACACCAGAGCTATAAAATACTAGCTCCCATTACTATTTGAGCATTTATTATTCATCACTTTGAGTAGCCATTCTTTGTAATATATAATCTCACTAGAAAAGAAAATTAAAATTCTCCAAGGCCTATGAGGAAAATGTGAGGGCAACTATCTACAGCACTTTGCAATGCAAAGAAGAACACATGTGCTTGGATAAAGCATGTAAACACTGAATTTTTTAGTTGTATGGAGGCACTTGATACATGGCCCAAAAGTCCAGGCTCTGTTATGCAGCTCGCCTTAGATCCCAATCTCCCAAACAAGTGTACAGTGAAGGCTTAAATAAATGAGGTAAGTGGTACGATTTTAAGGCTCGAAACCCTTCTGCAGAGTTTGAGACTCTGAGGGCTAAGACAGGGGATGTCTCTGGATGGCCCTATTTATTTAGGGGGTTAAGAGTGGAAAATGCAGGAAATTGAACAGACCTTGGAGTGGTTCAAAGACCTTGCAAGTAACAAATTATGTTAACCAGAAGTATCTTAGGAGAAGATCTGAATGTTGCATTTCATCACAGGGGTGAAATGCCTGTGGCTACAGTCTTTATTTAGTGAATTGGATTTGGAGCCAGGTGTCCTCAGCTGTTACATTGCTGATGCCATGCAGCAGTCCTGCAGGTGTGTTCAATTTCCAGTTTCAACAGCTCCCAACAAGTCTCCACACCCATGAAATAATATTTTCATTTTAAAAAATTAATTGCTGTCTATCAGGCACAGTGGTACATGCCTGTAATTTTAGAACTCAGGAAGCTGAGGCAGGAGGACTGCTGTGAGTTTGAGGCCAGACTGGACTACAAAATGAGTTCAGAGCCAGCCTGAACTGAATCCTGAAACCCTGTCCCAAAAAGACAAAAAATTGCTTTCTACGGTTTATTGTCAAATTGAATATTAACTAGAACATGTGATATCGGAAATGGATATGTTTTCTCCAAGAATAGTTTTTGCTCCTGTTTTTTCCTTCTCTTTTTGTTATTGTTCTTCCTTCATCTGTTTCCAGTAACTGGCATCAGCCACACCCTCCTGGAGCTCTCCTGCAAGGGTGTCCTTATAGACGGGACATCCTTCGCCTCTCTCTCCCCCCATGCTGGGCCTTGCACGTGAAGCCAAGCGCTCTACCACTGAGCCACACCTCCAGCCCTGCTTTCCTCTTACATTTTCTCTTAATGATCGCTTTATTACTTTCACTCAGTTACTCAACAAATAAGTTCCGACTGTGTTCCAAATACTGTATATGCTGTGTCAGATGTTGGGGAGGTAATTTAAAAAGCTGTGTCTCAGTTTGCCCCCTTTAAGTTTTATATTTCCAGCTCTGTGTTTCCTCTCATCATATATCCATTGTCTGCTTTGCATTTCCCATGGGTCACTGGTGTCCTTTGTCAACCACCAGAGACCGCTTCGTCCCCATAAAACACCACAGCTCTAAATGGAGTCAGGGCCAGGACCCAGGACCTCACACATGCCAGGCAAGCCACTGAGCCATGGCCCAGACCAGGGAAATGCAGTGTCTGTGTGCAGAACTCCCTTTTTCTAAATGTCTAGGTTTGTAGGTGTCCCAGTCGCAGAGCGCATTCTGCATTTGGTCCTTCTGAGGACTTTGGTTTACGTGATGAAATCCACAAGGCAGCAGGGACCAAATTGGACACCATCAAGGGCAGACCAAGGGTGACCATTACACTGGGCACAGCTGTTTTCCTAGTATTTGGCATGGTCCATGATTAGGACCTAGGAAAAGCTTAGTAAACTTTTGTTTTGTTTTTTTGAGGCAAGGTCTCACTTTGTAGTTCAGGCTGGCCTTGAACTCACTTATGTAGCCCAGGCTAGACACAAACTCATGGTGATCCTCCTGCCTCAGGCTCTTGCGTGCCGGTATAACAGGCATGTGCCACCATATCTAGCTAGTAAGTATTTTTTTTAGTAAGTTTTTTTTTTTTTTTTTAATAAATGAGAGCAAGTCGTACACAGAGCAAGCTGTTTCCTGCCAAGCATCCCCACCTTATCTGTCCTTAGTCTGAAGTCCATCTAAGTGGACTCTGAGCTGCTTCATTCCTGGTCTGTAAGGAGCTAGAGACCCCATCTAGCCTCACTGGAGAGGCTCACTGGAGATCTCACTGGAGAGAACTCAGCTCTTGTGTGGTTACAGAGGCTGTGACTCCTGTAGCTCAACCAGCTCTCTCTGTCTCCCTTCTCTCACTCTGTGTGTGTGTGGTCACAACCCCAAGAATACCTGAGAACATGCTGGCCTTTGTTCCCAGAATAACTGCTGACTTTGAACCAGTAGAAACATAAAATTACTTTACCTTTGCTGATATTTGGGATGCTAGTGGTTCATCTTCATACTGTCATTAGCACTGTCTCGGTACTCAGCATCACTCAGTACTCAGTACTCAGTACTCAGTGGTCCGTGTCAAGTACTGATGTGTTCTCTGCAGTGACTCCTGAGTCTCTCTCCTAAAAGAAATCAGTGGTGCACACCTTCCTCATTTTCCTGAAGTTTTTTTTAAACTGGGAATTGAACCCAGTGAGCACTAGGTTACATCCTCTGCCCTTTCTTCCTTGAGACTGGGCCTCACTAAGTTCCCAGCACCAGCCTCAAACTTGCTACCCTCCTGCCTCAGGGATTGCAGGTGTGTACCACCACACTTAGTAGTTTTTTTCTGAATTTCTGCCTATTTCGAGCCCCCATTTCAAGGACAATGTCACATTTCAATCCTAGGAAACACTGCCACGGCAGTCTGACCCCTTCCACAGAGACAAGTTTCATCTTAGCTCTTCTTAAGAACAAGAAGCAAACAGTTAAAATCTGAAGGATTTGTCTCAGAAGTTTGCCTTTGTCTGGTTCTGAGGCTTGCCAGGAAGAGCGAGCCATCAAATTCGCTGAGTTAGAGAGTTTATGCGGAAGGCGTGTTAGGGACTCACAGCAGCGGGACCACATACGTGTGCTTACTGGGTGCCAAGCCGCATTCTGAGCACTCCGTGTTTCACTGAATTCTCACAGCAGCCTGTAAGCTGGGGGCTGCTCTTAACTTCTAAGGGGAGAAACTGAGACACAGAGAGGTCAAGAATTTGTCAAGCCGCCAGACATAGGGGTGTAATCCCAGGCACTCTGGAGGGCTGAAACAGGAAGGTCACGAGTTCAAGCCCAGCTTGGGCCACCGAGTAAGTTAGCAAGACCCCAGTATGAAAATGTGGCGCTGTAGCTCTGTGCCAAGTCCTGGATTCAATCCCCAGTTCTGGGAGGGAAAAAATAATAATCTGTCAGGTTCCACAGGCATTGGTGGAGGAGCTGGGTTTGCACCCAGGGGACACCTGGGCCTCTCTTGCCTGCCTGTTGAGGCTTCTCTCCCGCCCCGTGTGTATCTCCTCTGTCTGGGGCCCCGGAACTCAGATCCCTTATTTTCCTCTCTCTCTCCCACGTCCACCTTGCACACAGCCTTCAGCTTCTGTGCTCCAACCCCCGCCCTGCACAGCAGCTCCGGCTTTCACTGCCGCGACCACAGCTACCTGCTAACTTCTCTTTCATCTCAAGTGAAGCCAGCCGGTCGCCCTGCCCCACAGTCCTGTCCTGATGGATCCTGTTAGAATCAAGTGCCTCCTGTGAACCAAGACATGGCTGGGAAGCAGTGTCACCTGCTCCCTGATACACCTGCTGAGAAGAATTACTCCCACAGCACTCACGCTTTATGCCGTGCTTGGAGAACTTTCATCTCAGACTGTTACAGAAAATAGACCAAACAGAGGAAGAAATGGCACCCAGGAGATTTAGGAGGCAGTTTATTACCTGGGCAGGCATGACTGGGATCTCTTCCAGAGTCAGAGCCCCACCTGCACAGTTCCAGGACTTTTATGGGGAGAGCAAGCAAGAAGATACAAAGGTAGATTTGGCACAGTATGATGGGAGGGTTGGGTGACATTTTGAGTTGCTACGGGAGTTCAAACATTTTAGGTTATATTGCAAGGCCATCGGTTAGATAAGCTTACGCAGAGGAAGGAATGTTCCGTTATTGGGCTTGTCCGGACATAGATATGTCCACTTGGTCTTGGCAGACATCCTTGGCAGGCTTTACTTAAAACTTTAATTTCCCTTTCAAGACCACCTTGAACTTTTACCTGCATGATAATCTTGTCCCTCCAACTAACTAGAAAAGAGGGTTGTGTTTCGTACGTTTTTCCTTTGACCCCAGAAGGCCTCCCAGGCCCCAAGCACACCTATGGAGTCGGTCTGGAGGTTGGACTCAGCAACTCCCTTCAGCGAGTGCCTGAGGATTCTGGGACCTAGTCAGGCCTGGAGCCACTGGCCCAGAGCACACAGATGCACAGCGGTGCCCTGGAAAGTACCAGGCCCCTGAGTACCACAGCAAGCCAGAAGGAGCCTATGTGTGTCTTTCTGTGATGTCCTCAAGTCTGACCAGCCCTGGAAACAGGTTTCCACTCAACTCCCCCTTGAGCAGTTCCCAGCCTAGGCAACGAGGCAAGGACTGTTTTACAAATTCTAAAACAAGAGGCAACTTCATGTGATTGTTAGAATTAAACTCAGTACAGTGGTGCCTCAGTTCACAGATTTAGTGCGTTCTTGATTCTGCAAAAGATGGCCCCGGGCATGTTCATCTCCGGATGCAGAGTTCCCAAACACAAACCAAATGCTGTCAAACGTTTCCATTTCTGAACCACAGTGTTCACAAACCAAAGCATCGGTGAGCCAAGGTACCACTTAATACTGCAGAAAGTAACTGCAGGCTTCCTTCGCTGCCCTGCCCCGCCAGCCTGGGCCTAAACAGAGAAACCTAACGTACAGAGAAACCTAACGTACACCTCTCCGTGTTCTTTGCAGCTACGCAGGTGTGATGCTGTCCCTCCTGAGGAAAGGGTTTCTCTACCTCATGTCTGTTTTCTCTTATGACCCAACAAAATACGAAGGTAAAGCTGTTTATATTTCTTCCTGCCTTTTTCTGTTTTCCTGTGTCCTAAATTGATTCAACAACACAGATAAAAACTGTTTCACCCTGATTCATCTCCTAGGGAACATAGTACTAATATACTTGAACATCAAGATCCCTCTGTTGTACTCTAATGGGAACTCTAGACTTTTTTTCTCTCCCCACAAGGTACCTATTTTTCCCGTGCTTCTTCCTGTTTTGTTCATTAGTTGTAGCTTGAGCTACGGAAAAGGTGGGGAGGAATGGATGAGCTTGATGTAAAAGAGAAATCTCACGAGCCCTGGCTTGGGAGGGAGGCGAAACTCATGTGCTCTGCCCCAATGTCCCACAGCCCGCCCCCCTCCCCGTGAGGCGACCTGCTGGCAGCTGCTTATGCAAAGACACCCTCATGGGTGGATGGAGGAGGATCATGTCTCCACTGCTGTTTTGTAATTTCTGAAATTTTGTACTTTATCTATTGCATTCCAAGAGGACTTTCTTTGCTCTCAAAGTGAAAGGGATGTTTTTCTTGTAGATTCGTTTTGTTGAATTTGGACAGTGACACTGTTTTTTTGTTTTTTTTTTTGTTTCACTTCGTGTGTTTAGGGCAGGAGGTGGAGCCCAGGGCTTTACACTGTACCACTGAGCTGTACCCAGAGATCTGGACTTTAAAACTTAGCATTTGTCATGGCTGGACTTTTATTTTCAGGAAAAAATAACAAACCAAAAAAAAAAAGGCTTTTAATTTGTAAAAATCCCCAAATTTGGTTTTTAATTGAGCTTTTTGAAAGTGCTTTAAGATTTACATGTTAGTCTGCTTTTTTTCTGTTTGAATAAATCAAGTTCAAAAAGCTCATTCAGAAAGGAGACCTAGTGTCCCTAATTAATGGACATAGGAGTTTATGGAGGCAGAGCTTAGCTCTATGAATCTGACTCAGATTCCAAGCATGGACAGAAGGCCAGGGAAGGAAAGCTCAGCGCAGAGACTCAGAGCTCAGCTGTCGCTGCAGGGCAGAGGGAAAGTTCCTCCCAAGTCTGGGACCCCGCCAAGGGGGAGGAGCACACAGAATGGGACAGGAAGTGCAGGAGGCAGAAAACCAGCGCCCCTGACACAGGGGAAACCCCGGAGGACTTTGCTGGTGGACTCTATACTGATTTCAGTGTCCTAAGTCCCCAGGTTGGCTTGGCCCATAATTCCATCTAAACTGCAGATGAGAAGATAATGCTACTGTCCTCTTATAAACCAGTTTACTTCTTTGGTGTAACATATTAAAAAAACCCTAAAGGCCAGGAGTGGTGACACACACCTGCAGTCCCAGCACTCAGGAGGCTGAGGCAGGAGGTTGCCAGGAATTTAAGGCCAATCTTGGCTACATAGTGAGCTCAAGGCCAGCCTGAACTACATACATGGTGAGGAGTTGTCTCAAAAAACAGTCTCCCCCATTACAAGACCGTGCTGCAGCCTCACCTGGTTAGATAATAATTAAGTTGTATATATAGTAAGTATATCTAGATCACTGGATATGCATGGAAAGATAGGCCCAGAGGGTTTATACTGCTTTAGAATTAAAGTTATAGAAATTATTCTTCACTACATTTCTCTTGTTCCTAGGCCCACCATTTTATGTTCCACATTCTGAAATTCAAGCACTCTTTGGTAAGTTCTGCTCTAGTAAACTGTTAGGTGTTAGCAGCTATTAGTATAGATAATCACAGTGCATACAGTTTAAAAGGCAGAGCTAGTTTACTGAAGACCATTTTATCTAGAAAAGGAACCAATCTCCCTCACATGCCTTTTTAGCTGAACATTCTCTGTTAAACACATTTGGACTAATCCAAGGAGGAAATACATTCATGTTTGCACTTGGGAGATACAAACAATAGTAATAATTTGGAGTTCAGAAAATTTGGGCTTAGCTCTTCCTCATTTTCATTGAAAAGACGAGAAAGGTCTTCAGTGCATACCGTTTTTAAAATCATTAGAATATTTTTAGAATATTTGTCACAGTGTTCTAACCTGCTGCCCTTTCTTTTTGTTTCAGGTACAAAATGCAACATTCTTTGCCTTGAAAAGGTTGATGCTCTTGAAAAACTGAATGTGGGAAGTGACTACTTTTTTGAAAAATTGTATCTGCTGACAGAAAAGTAGAGGATGAATCAACAAAATCGAGGAACATCAATACTTTATTACATTTTTGAGGAACTGAAAATTTGGGGACAGCTTGAAAATACAATGGATGACTTTTTTAAAAAAGTTTTTACAAGTCATAAATCTTTGCTCAAAAATGTATATAACTTTTTAGTTATATACATTTAACATTTTATATACATATAAAAAAGTTTTTACAAGTCATAAATCTTTGCTCAAAAATGTATATAACTTACCATGTCAAAGTAGATCTTTGGAGAGAATTATATAGTCATGTCTTGTTAACAAAATGCAAGAATTTCTATAGTCCTCATATTTCTTATACAATGAAGAAATTAAAGAAACAAAATGCATATATCTTAAAGAAATAGAACAAAAACCCTTTATATGAAATTTAGAACCATTGAAAAAATGTAGTCCAAATAATTATTAAAAAGACTAGCTTTTACTATAGACCTTCATCTTACATGCAAATCCTAAAACCCATTTTCATGTTTTCTTCATATATAATTTTATATGTGACTGACTAAAGAAACATAAAAATTCTAATCAAACTCGCCTATATACAACAAAATATTTTTTCCAAGTGCAAGAATAAAGCTTTTTTTGAGTTTATCAAGGTTTTGTTCCATTTCTTTTAATTTAATCTTGTTTTCATGAGCAACTATTTTGAAGTATAATATACTCGGGGCTGAATTTGGTCAGATTTTGTGAAATCAGGTAGTCCTCTCCACTGCCTGGTATCTGTGTGTTCAGCTCATGTCAACAGGGTGATATGTATTTTAAAAATACGTTTATGGCTGGACCTGGTGTGCACACTTGTAACTCCAGCTACTTGGGGGCTCAGGCAGGAGGGTCACAAGTTCAAGACCAGCCTGGGCAACTTAGCAAGACCTTGTCTTGAAATAAAAAGTAAAAAGGGCTGGGTGTGGATTGCAGAGTGAAGCCCTGAGTTCAATCTCCAGTACGATGTGGAAAAAAGAAAAAAAGCTGGATGTGGTGTTGCATGCCTGTAATCCCAGCACTGAGGAGGCTGAAGCAGGAGAATCTCTTCGAGTTCCAGGCCAGCCTGGACTAGAAAGAGTTTAAGGCCATCCTGAACTGCACAATGAAACTCTGTCTCAAAAAGCCAAAAAATAAAGGTGTGTGTGCGTGCACATGTGTGCACAGGTGCATGTTGTGGGTTAAAGGTTGTTAACAGGGAAGTTTTTGGGACCCCCTAGTACTGATGGAGCTGTGGGTATCCTCATAACACTTTGTAAAATTCCCTGAAGTTGAAAGTTGTTCACCTTGCTGCCCCTGTGGCCGCATTTAGGAGCTGCTGTGCCCACTGTTCCGCATTGGTCTGTTCTCCCTCATTTGTGTTATTCTAAGGCTGAGTCAGGAGGGTCCCCAGGCTCACCCTGACTGCTACTTCCCTGAATCCTGCCCCTGGCACATGGTGTGGCTTCCTGCAGCCACCACCACCATCGAGGATAAAGGATGACTAACCCCGGTCGGGCCAGTCCCTTCCGGGAGAGCCTGGACCGTGACCCAGGAAGGCAAGTTGGCTGCTTCCATTGTCATTGAGGCTCAGCACACCGGGGAGACACAGGTCACGGCTCTACACTGGCCACTTGTGTGACTTGTTTTCCCCGGATCCTAAATGATACAAATGAGAAAGTGACATGTATGTACCTTTTCATAAACAGAACATTCTTAAAATTGGGGGCTATAAGAAAGTCTAAAGCAAAAGCAAGAACAAGCAGGCCGGCTCCTGGAGGTGGTGACCGCCGAGGGGGCGCTCTCTGCGTATTTTCCTTTCTGTCACAAGTACCCACGCATTTTTACGAAGCTGGGATCATGTCATGGACTCGGTTTCATGTCTCTGCTGCCTTCCTTTCCATTTTGCCAGCCTTTCCTCCCCTCAGTAAATGTTTTTCAGAAACAGGATTTCCTTTTTCTCTCTTGGCGGTGCGGGGAACTGAATGCAAGGCCCGGTGCATAGGAAGCATGGGTCCACCTCTGAGCCACACTCACACTCCCATCCCTTCTCTTCCCTTCCTCCTCCCCGGCCTCATCCTTCTTTCTCTTCCTCTATCTCTGTCTCTCTGTCTCTGTTTTTCCAGGGCTGAGGTTTGGTCCCAACCCAGGGTCCCAGCCTCTCTTTATTTCTTTTATTTTGAGGCAAGGTCTTGCTAAGCTTCCTAGATTGGCTCAAACTTGCGATCCTCCTGCCTCAGCCTCCCGGCTCTTGGGGCCAGGATTAGCTATCAATTTCCCCTAACATTGCAGTTAGCATTCATTCAGCAAACATAGGCACCTGCATAACCGGGAAAACTTCAGTGCTGTGAATCTGGAAGTCACACTGCTACTCGTCACAGTTTACTGTCGGATTCTTGACAGTGAGTCAGTGATTCGAACAGATCGTCTGTGTATAGTTCCGGCACCACCGTATAGTCCCACCACCAGTTGGCAAGTGGTTACCGCGAGCGTCCTTAGCAACGCGACGCAGCTCCCTTTCCCGCCCCTCCCCCTCCACTCCCCTCTGCACTGGCCCAAGCCATGCTGCAGTACCGCTGGTTGCCTCGCGGGGGCAGAAAAGGATAAAAATGGAGAAGAGGCAGACGAGATGCAGCCAAAGGGCCCAACTCTGCTACCCTCCACCAGGTCCTGGAATAGTTTTGGAACTGCGTCCAATCGGAGAGACAGGCGGCAAGGCAAGGATGGCTGGGTCTAGCAGCCACACAGGTCTATAACCCCAGAAGTGTCGGAGGCTGAGGCAGGAAGATCACAAGTTTGAACTCAACCTAGGCAATGTATGATTTAGACATTATCTAAAAAAATAATATACATAACTGAGAGTGTAGAGCACTATGAAGGCCCTGGGTTGAATCTCCAGTACCTCTAAATAAGTAAATGGAGACGATAGTATCACTTAGCACAGATCTGGCATAGAACCACGCTGTTGCAGCAGTATCTACTTTGCACTTGCTGTGGAGCTCATCTGAAATACCACGCTGTGTGACTGCAAAATACACACTGGGTTTTACTTTGCACACACAAAAAAGAGCACAAAATACCTGATTAATATTTCATGACGGTTGCAGTAAATAAAGGGAAAACATCCTAAGATATCTTAAGTTAAATAAAATATTCTCAATTAATTTCACTACTTTCTTTTTTAAAAACGTGATTAGAGTGTCAAAAGGATAATATTTTGGCTATTTTGGGTTAAACAAAATACACAGCAAAATTAATTTCACTAGTTTCTTTTTTTAAAAAAGTGATTACTAAACAAATTTACTGCATGACGTGACTCATTGTATTTCTATTGAAAACTAGTTTAAAATTTTTCCACTTTTGATGTTCTAAATGTGTTTCCTGACTGAAAACTTCCAAAAGAAATTTCCACTGGACGTGATTTTACTCATTGGTTTAAAGTGTATTCTGAGATTCTAGTGTTAGTTATTGTTGTACCAAGTAGGCAACCTTTGAATCCTGTAACACTTGATAAGAAAATGTCCTTTCTCGTCTCACATCAAAGCTTTCTTCAGGGTTGCTGTATTTTGTTTGTGGTACTGAGGATTGAACCCAGGACCTTTGCACTGAGCTACTTCCTCGGCCCTTCTTATTTTTAATTTTGAGGCAGGGTCTTACTAAATCATTAAGTTGCCCAGGAAGGGCTTGAATTGGTCTTTCTGCCTCAGCCTCCCATGTGCTGAGGTATATGCCACCACACTTAGCTACGACCATCCTTATTAACTAATGACATTGTTATTTCAGATTTACTCCTGCCAGGGACATTCCCAGCCATGCCCATGTCATACTCACCCGCCTGGTAGATTTCTCAAACAGACCTGTAAGTCCTTCTTCCATATGCAAATTCACTTTACAGGTATTTATTAAACAACTACTTTACTACAGTGTAACAAAACACACCTGCCTCCGCCCCAGTAGAGTATCTGGTTTTCCAGTCACATAGAACCTAAGTATCAGGAGGGACAGTGCCACGCATTATATCCTGGGACCCAGCACCCAGCCCTGGGATCGGACTCAGTGCTGGGCTGCAGCCTTAGAAGCCTGGGTTCCGGCTTTTACTTTGCCACCTAACAGGCTGAGAAATCAAGAGCGACGCTGCCAGGCATGGTGACCCACGCGTGCAGTCCCAGCAGGCTGGGAGGCTGCGGCAGAAGATGCTCACATTTAAGCTCTTCCTGGGCATTTAGCGAGAGCCTGTCACAAAATTTAACAGACGAATGGATTAAAAAAATATACAGGATGACACAATGCAGTTACTCTGCCATGAAGAAGGATAAACGAGTTATTTGTGAGGGAAATGGATGCCTCTTGAGACCATAATGTTAAGTGGAATACATCGGACACACATGCTTAATTATCACATGATTTCTATTATATGAGAAACCCAAAGTATAAATAAAGAGCAAAATAACAGGTAGATAAATAGGAAACAAGGAGACAGATCTTTGGCAAATGTGAAGTGGACCAAGAGATGGAAGAGGGGAAACGAGAAGGAGGGAATGGGAAGGGATGAAAAAAGAATTGAGGTGTGTCATACATGTGCCAAGTCCTCACGATGAACATAATCGTTCTGTACTGCAAACATGTACTAATAAAAAATGAAAAAGGGACTGGCATGTATGTAGCTCAGTGTGAAGGTCCTGGTTCAAGGCCAGAGCAGGGAAGGGAGGGAGGGAGGAGACAAAGGAAGCAGCCTCCCGCTCGCCCTCGGCTGGCCTTTCCTCGTCTGAAGGTGAGATGGTCCCCACTTGGACCTGCAGCCCGCACAGGCGCAGATGAATTCTTTTTGCAAAGGTTCTGGATCAGGTCTTTGGGAAACAGTGCCGCGCCTGTCCGCCAGGGGGCAGCAGCTCGCGGTCCGCAGCGCCCGAGGTCATAGCGCGGCCTTGGCCGAGGCCGTGACCCGGGGCAGGACGCAGCGGGGCGGGCGTCACTGGGCGTCGCGTCGCGTCGCATTGCGTCGCGGGGGCGTCGCGTCACGGGGCGGGGCGTCGCGGCCGCCATGGCCGAGCGCGGCCCGGCGCCGCCGGAGCTGGAGAGCCTCCTAGAGTGCGAGGTGTGCTGCGAGCGGTTCGACCCCGGGCCGCGGCGCCCGCGCAACCTGCCGTGCGGCCACGTGCTGTGCCTGGCCTGCGTTGCGGGCCTGACGGATCCGCGCTCGTCGGCGCTCGCGTGCCCGTTCTGCCGCCGGCCCTGCGGCGCGCGCGACACCAGCGACTGCCGCCCGCTGCGGCGCCTGCTGGAGCTGCTGGGCGCCCCCGGGGCCAGGGGCCGGGCCCTCCCTGCACCTGCTGCCGCCGCCCCTGCCCCCGCCTGCTACCGGGCCATCGGCGGCTGGGGCACCCTGGTGAACCCCACAGGCCTGGCGGTGTGTCCCCAGACCGGCCGTGTCGTGGTGGTGCACGACGGCCGCACGCGTGTGCAGATCTTTGAGGCTGGCGGGGGCGCGCGGATGCTGCAGTTCGGGGCGAAGGGGGACGCGGCACAGGACGTGCGGTACCCGCTGGACGTCGCCGTCACCGCAGACTGCCACGTGGTGGTCACCGACGCCGGCGACCGCTCCGTCAAAGTGTTTGATTTTTCGGGTCGCGTCAGGCTAGTCTTCGGAGGAGGCCAGTTCTCCCTTCCGTGGGGCGTGGAGACCACTCCTCAGAATGGGCTCCTGGTCACCGACGCGGAGGCTGGCTCCCTGCACCTGGTGGAAGCCGACTTCCCCGCGGGGGTCCTTCGGCGAAGCGAGAGGTTGCACGTGCGCCTGTGCAGCCCTCGAGGGGTAGCCGTGTCATTGCTCAGCGGGGCCATCGCCATACTGGAACAGCCCTTACCCCCGGGGACTGGGCCCTGCAGCACCAGGGTGAAGGTGTTCAACCCGAGCATGCAGCTCATCGGCCAGGTGGATACCTTTGGGCTGAGCCTCTTCTTTCCTTCCAGGGTAACTGCTTCGGCTGTGACCTTCGATCAGCAGGGGAACGTGATTGTGGCTGATATGTCGGGTCCAGCCGTGCTCTGCTTAGGAAAACCCGAGGAGTTCCCAGTGCTGAAGCCCTTGGTCACCGAGGGGCTCACCCACCCTGTAGCCCTAGCCTTCACCAAGGAGAACCTGCTGCTTGTGCTGGACGCTGGGTCCCATTCTGTAAAAGTCTACAGATTTGACAGGGAGTAGAGTGGGGAGAACCCAGCGGGGTGGAGTCAGAAGGCCTGGTCCTGCCACTAGTGAATTGTCACTTAACTCCTCCATCCAGACAGAGATAATGGTGTCCACCTGGTAGCATTACAAAAGTCGGGGCAGTTATTTAAGAATTATAATTAAATCCACCATTTATTGAAAGTATTTTCCCCATCCTAAGAAATTTTCCAGTGTTTGCTCATTTGATTCTTAGTAACAAATGAAGTAACTGTTTATGTGTTATAACCCATTTTAGAGTTGAAAAACAGATCTAGAGCGCTTAAGTGACTTTCCCGTGGTCACTGTGACAGTCACATAAGTAAACCCTAATGAGTGCAGAGCCACATGGCTCAGTCCTTATAGGTGCCAGGCAACTTCATTCAATTTCCTGGTCATCACATGTATGTCAGCAGTGCCCGTGGTTGTCTTGAAAAGGGGCCTTTAGATACAAGGAGCACAAAGGATATGAACACAGCTGACATTTTCATGATACTTATTTTAAAAGGACTTAATTTGTTTGACCTTTTAAAGCATCGCTTGAGCTAGACAGGGAAGGTTTTATTAAGATGATTTTCCAAGTAAAGCAGATAACACAAATGGGGTGACTCGACCAAGGTGGTATAACTGAATCCTGGTGTTTCAGGGTTCAGCAGAGTGGCGACTCTGTGAGCAGCCAGAGTTAAGCATCACTGCTCTGGAGAATGACATAGCCCAGGTGTCCCTTTGTGGTAAACTCACTGCTCAAAGTGGTTCCTGGCAGCCCCAAGTAATGTGGAGAGGTGAGGGAAAGCTGCCACCTTTCTCAACTAAATTCAGCTCACAGTGTCCCCCAATCCTGCCCATTCTGAGTGTCACGTGATTTGCATACCTGGCCTTCAGGTGGGGTGGGAAGAGACCCGTTTAAGGCAGGACACCACTTGATTGTAGGGGAGGACAGAGTGACGGTTAAATTCTTCTATTTCCTTTAAACAAAATGCCTTTGACTTGCTTGTTCATTTTCTTTCTTGTGTGTGTGTGTGTGTGTGTGTGTGTGTGTGTGTGGCAGGGGTGGGCCCGGGGATTGAACTCACAACCTTGTGCTTACCAGGTAAGCAAGCGCTTAAGCTACTGAGTTAAATCCCCAGCCCAACTGTTTTCTTTTTCTTTTCTTTTTGTCTTTTTTCCTTTTTATCGGTACCGGGGATCGAACTCAGGACTGCCTGCTTTCAAGGCAGGCGCTTATGCCGCTTATGCCGCTGAGCTAAATCTTCAGCCCTCTGACTGTTTTCTTAAAGGAAATGAGCTTGTGCTATTTTAAAGAATCAGTGAATATGTGTAATTCTGAAGCTTCCTAGCTCACAGTAGCTATCTGATATTACTTCAGGCTGATACGTGTACTAAGTTGGTGAGGGACTTGTGAGAGCCAAGTGCCAAATGATAGCAACCTAGAGAATAAGAGACCCCTCTTTCTAGACACCTCGAAGTTCTCTTTTCTTTCTCCCTGTTTCGTACCTATTGCTTGATGGTTCTTTGTAGTTATTTTTCCCTTTGAGTTGTAGAAGTAACACGTTCTTTACAGAATTAGAAAAATACAAGCATAAAGATAATCAGTTTTAATTAATGAAAATTTCACAGTTTTGCATTGAGTTGAGTTTTATCACTGTGGGGTTAGTATTCTTGATCATCTCTCTAAATTTAGTAAAACAGTGAATATATCATATAAACTGCAGACTTATCTGCCAAAAAGTAAATTTTAGTGGTAGTTGACTGAAGTGCAAGTTTGGAGATTCTAAAATATGAGAAGCAAGCGTTCTGTGGTTGAAAGAAAGAGAGGCAGTGGGAGAAGGAGAGGGAGAGATTAACTTTCCATCTGCCCTCCACATGCCCCCCGTAGTATAGCAGGACCATGTGACCATTTCTTGCTGTGAACAGAAGAGATGAGGCAGAGGAAGAAAAATAACGTTGAAATTCTGCAAAGAATTTCTGCAAAGAAATTCTGAGGTTAGGCAGAGGTCTCAAGTTTCATAATGAAAGTACTATGATCTGCAGAGATAAAATCTTGTACTTAGACTTTTGACAGTAAAATTTAAACAGAAAACCTAGTCTTTGCAGTCACATAAAATTTGCATTCTTATCAGGAAATTTCAGTGTAGCTTATATATTACAGATTTTTTTTCACAAAGCATGAGGGCAGTTAGTCCCCTGTGTGAGACAAAAGGGAGCAGAGCTCTTGAAATGCATGAAGTCAGACATTGGAGGGACAGCTGTGAGCTTCACGGTTCACTGTGTGATGGGGGGCTAGGATCACAGGGACCCCATACTCCAGGTTTTTCATGTCAGCCATCTATACCTTCTGCCCAGCCTGTTTTTTGATGAGCACAGTGTTCCAAAATAGTTTGCACTTTAATGACCTTTCTTCCCAGATAAACAAATCTGTGCACTCTATTTGCAATTTTGAAACACTGATTTGTATTCCCAGAGTGACTGAAACTGATGAAATAGGAAGCCACTTCCATTACATGTTGGAGTTAATTTCTACAAGAATATACCATTCTTCCATGATGAATAACAAAACCCAAATCTTTTTTTTTTTATCGGTACCAGGGATCAAACTCACAACTGGCTGCTTGCAAGGCAGGCGCTTATGCCACTGAGCTAAATCTCTAGTCCCCAAAACCCAAATCTTAAAGTTACTGCTTTCTCTCTTCTGATAAATCAGTAAGAAATACTTCATGTATTCTTATCTTTTAAAATTTTTATTTTTTGGTTTTTGTTTTTGGTATCAGGAATCGAACTCAGGACCTTGTGCTTGCCAGGCAGGCGCTGTGCTGCTGAGCAATATCCCCAGTCCCATTTATTTATTTATTTTTGGTATCAGGAATCGAATTCAGGATCTTGTGCTTGCCAGGCAGGCACTGTGCTGCTGAGCTATATCCCTAGCCCTATGTATTTAATTTTGCTAGGTTGGGCATGGTGGCACACACCTGTAATCCCAGCAGTTGGGAGGCTGAGGCAGAAGGATTGCCGTGAGTTTGAGGCCAGCCTGCACAACATAGTGAAACCCTGTCTCAAAAAAACAATGAAAATTTGAAGTACATCTGCACAAGGAAGGGTATCCAAATGCATTTTTTAAATTCTGTGCTGTTTATCATTTTCTGTATTTTTGTCAGAGTTTGGTATTAGAGTTATACTGGCCTTATAAAATGAGTTGGAAAATTCCCCTCCTTTAAATTTTGAAAAAATTTGTATGATGTCAGTATTAGTTTTTCTTCAGTGTCTGATAGAATTCACCAGCGAAATGTGTGAATCTTGTGTCCAGGAGTTTTCTTGGTGCCAAGTTTCACTACGAATTTTCTTGTGAATTTAATGTCTTTATATAGGATAATTCAGGTTTTTTGCTCCATGTTATATGAATTTTGTAAGTATTTTTCAAGGAATTTGCCCAGTTAATCTGAGTCACAATTTGTCGATAAACTTGTTCAGCACGTGTACTTTTTATCGTTTCAATGTCTGTAGGATCTGTGGTGGTGACTCTTCTCCGTCCTGATGTTGGTAATATATATCTTCTCTTACTTTTCTTGATCTGTTTAGCTGTTTGACTTCGCAGATTTTAACTTCTGTCTTTGTTAATAACTTAGTTTACTCCGAGCATTGTTGGGCAGCAAGTTTGTTCACTGAGTATCCTGAGTGTTTCTTAGACAGTTGTCATTTCGACCAGTTGATTCGGTTGTTTTGTTTTTTGAGACAGGATCTCGCTGTGTAGTTCAGGCTGGCTTTGAACTCACTTTGTAGCACAGGCTGGCCTTGCATTCACAGCAGTCCTCCTGCCTCAGCCTCCTGAGTGCTGGAGTCACAGGTACGTGCCAGTGTGTTCAGCCACCAACCAGTTGATTCTCATATTGAGTAAATTTGATAGAATTGTTTTTATATTTCCTATTATAAAAACTAATGAAAGATACACAATTTTTGGTCATTCTGTGTTTAAATAATTGGACTGTTAAGTGAGCGGTTTTCTACTTTATCTCCTTTTCTCTATCATTGATTATTTGCTCTTTTTTTACCTCCCCAGTGCTGAAGACAAAACCCAGGGCCTCTCACATGCTAGTGTACTAGCAGTGCACACCCGAGCCCCCTAGTTTCTTTTACTGAGGTTGAATTTCTTGTGCTGTTTTCATAGCTTCTTAAGGTAGCACTTGTGGTCACTGATTTTAGACTTTTTTTTTCTCATCTTATATAGACTTTGAATTTCCCTCTCAGGATAGGGTCAGCAGCCTCATAGATTTTGATATATTGAACTTTCATTATCATTTGGCTAACTTTTTAAAAAGGTGGGGGAAGGATTAAGGGAGGGAAGGAGAAGTGAATGGAAAAAGAATTAAGATGTTTTATGTACATGTACCAACTGCCCATGATAAACGTCATCCTGGTGTGGGAATGTACTGATAAAATTTTTAAAGAAATATTTCTCTTGTGATTTCTTTGACTCACAGGATATTTCAAAATGTTATTTAATTTCTAAACATTTGGAATTTCCCTATGTAATGTTATTAATCTCTAACTTAATTCACAGTATTTACAAAACAGACAGTACAATTTCAGTCATTTTATTGGGGAAGCGGAGGTGACACTGATGAACTTGTTAAAGTTAGCACAGTAGAAGTCTCAGGAGTGTGGGGCCACCACTTGTCCAAGGGACTGCGATTCCAGACGTAGTTCACCCCACAGCCATCAGGGATGAGGCGCTTCTCAGCCACCATGTCTTCAAATTCGTCTGCATTGAGTCTGATAAAACTTCACTTCTTGGAGATGTGCATCTTCCGGTGGCCAGGGAACTTGAACTTGGCTTCAATCACATGTTCCTTATTCTGCAGCCTGATAGAGATGGGCATGATGACCTGTCCAGTGTGAACCCTTGCCACTGTACTCTGGAGCTTCCCCAAGGCACCTTGCATGCCATCTGGAACCTGGATTGGAGACCGTAGGAGGTCAGATACATAAATGCCAGCCCTGAAGCAGGATCTGCAAGGCCTCTTAGGGCAGCCCATACAAGCCGCAGGCTGTGAACTCCATCAAGGAGCTTGCTGTTTGCATCCACTGCACACTGGGAACCCACAGCAGGGCACCCATTGGCTTCATTAATTGTAGGATTTCAGTCACTTTAAATTTATTCAGATATGTTTTATCACTCAGCATTTAGTCTGTCTTGGTTGACATACCATGTGCACTTGAAAGAGCGTAGTGTAAAGTATAATGTTCAGGGGCTGGGGATTTAGCTCAGCGGCATAAGCGCCTGCCTTGCAAGTGCGCAGTCATGAGTTCAATCCCCGGTACCGATTAAAAAAAATAATAATGTTCTATAAAAGTGTTTAAGTGTTGCTTAACAATGGGACTGCAGTCTGAGAACTGCATCCTTAGGGGACTTTGTCCATGTGGGAACACTGTGGAGTGTACTTAAGCAAACCTAGATGCTAAGTTCAGTCGTTCCATGGAGCCTCTTGATGCAATCAAGAGACGTGATCAGAGGCTGCTGCCAGTTCAGCGTGATGCACTGCTAATAATAAACTTTAAAAAATACAAGCTGAAGGAACACACTGCAAAACCACAGCTAAAAGATACAGCATAGTAAATGCATCAATAACAGCCATTTATCAGCAAGTCAAGTATTATGTAAACCAGGTGTGGTGGCACACATCTGTAATCCCAGCACTCTGGGAAGCTGAGGGAGTAGGATCACGTGTTTGAGCCCAGCCTGTGTAACTCAGATGCTGTCTCAATAAAAAATAAAGACTAGGAAGAGGGATGGTGGGAGGAGAAGGAAACATGAAGTAAATTAAGATGTATTATGTACATGTACTAGCTCCCTACAATGAATGTTATCATTATGTAGCACAAACATAGTAAAAAAAATCATTTTTTTAAAAGGCTGGGGACATAGTTTGGCATGCAAGCCCTGGTTCAATTCCCAGCACCAAAAAAAGGTACTCTGCATGATAATAACATTGCTGAACTTCCTATGATCAGCAGTGCGATGGTTTTTTTACACTAGCATTGCCACAAATACATGAAAAGTGTATTGCACTGTGTGTTATAAGGGCTACAATGTCACTAGCTGGTAACTTCAGCTCCTTTATACTCCCAAGGGACCAGCACTGTCCAAGTGGTTCCTTGTTGACAGAAACATGGTAATGGAGGTGCATGATGTATTAATTTAGGCCAGGGTGATTGACAGTTTTATTCTTTTCACCTAAGTCTTTATTGATTTTTCATGAGTTCTATAAATTGCTGAGAAGTCACATTTACATTACAGAAATGTTTATGGAATACCTATTTTAATTCTGTCATTCGTGTATCTTAGACTGTGAATTGACATGCAATTACTACTGTAAAGACTTTCTGTAAATTGATAGGAAGAAACCATTCCCTTCATGTATCTGATAATATTGTCTTTAAGCTTATGCTTTCTGTTTAATATGTCCATATCACATTTTTTCTCATATATTTACTTCCCACTTTTATTTTTCAGTTGGGTTTTGTCTTGTGTCTAGATGTTTCTCCAAAGCCTCATGAGGTCACAGTGGGACTTTCTGGAGGTGACTGTATCTGGGACTGTATCTGGGATGTGATGCTGGGATTAAGGCTGTGAGAGCTACCTGCCCAAAGGATGAGTAGCCTGGATGGAGTATAGGAGGCAGAAAGAAGGCCTGCTGCTGCTGCAGCTGTCATTAATGGCTACTTGTTGCCTTCTTGCTGCCCTGCCTGTTAGCTGTTTCTCCCTGTGATGCCCCTCTGCCATGCCACCCTGCCTTGGAGCCAGCCGATTTATGCACTGAAACCTCTACAAACTGAGCCAAAATAAACTTTTTTTGCCCTTAACCTCGGGTGGTGGATATTTTGTCTCAGCAATGCAAAAACTAACTAAGACAAACTGCATCCCTTGAAAAGCACAAGTTTAGCCAGGTGCAATGGCACATGCCTATAATCCCAGCACCAAGAGGCTGAGACAAGAGGATCACCTCAATTTGAAGGCCAACATGAGTTCAAGGCCAGCCTGGACTATATAGCAAGACCCTGTTGAAAGAATGAAAGAGGGACAGAAAGAAAACATACTTCTACTTTTTCAAAACTCATTCTGCCAATCTCTGCCTTTTAATTATGTCATTTAGTTCATTAATATTTAACATTAATAGGGTTGTATTTAGGTCTACCATTTTATTTGTTTTCTCTTTCTCCTCTTTGCTTTTTTCTTCAGTTCTTCCTTACATCTTGTAGGTTAACTGTTTTTCTTCAAAATCTACATTATCTATGCAGCTTTTAGCTATATCTGCATTATTTTTTCAGTGGTTGATGTAACAATTTATAACATAAACTCTTAAACAGTGTACTTAGAATAATTATACCACTTCACATCAAAAGCAGGAGATTTGTAATTTTACAGGTCCTTTTATGATTCCAACCTTTATGGTTTAGTTATCACCTGCTTCCAAGACAATGTTACAATCTGTAAGACTCATTCTTAGAGAAAATAGCCTTTTAGTTCATAATTTGAGCAGCCAATCAGAGGCCTCGGTAGGAGGGAAGGGGCGGGGCGGCCACTGAGGAAGTAAACTGGAGGGGGCGCGCGCAGGCTCTAGCCCCGCCCCTCACCATTTCCGGCCCGCAGGGAGAGCGCCAGTCGCCGGGCACGCGCTCTTTCCTCTCACAAGCGCGCGCCCCGTTTAGGCTGCCACGCCCCCGCCCTGCGGCCGCGTCACGTGGCCGCGCCAGCCTAGACAGCAGTGTGGAGCTGGAGGCTGTGGGCGTGGCGAGAAGGCTGCTCCTGAAACTCGCTGTCAGCCATGCTGGCCTTGAACTCCCCGTGATCCTCCTGGTGCGACCTCTGAAGAGCTGGGATTATTATGGTCAATTAGAAAAATACAATTTACTTTGCTTTTCTTCAGTAGTGAACAGTAACACTGATGAGACCCTCGCAGCTGTGTGAAAGAAAATGCTGTAAAGTCCTTTGGATAGTGAAAAAAAATCTGACCTTGGCTGCAGGCCTCATCTTCTTGAGTTAGACTCTTGCCAAGAGCTTTGCCATGGAGTGATAGCTAATTTTTAAGGAGATATACACATCTTATGATACGAAGAAATGAGTCATGGGCCAAATACCAACATATTTCTCTGGGTAATGTTGCTGTTGATGCCGCGCTACAAAGTCATACAATGAGTAGTTTAAGAAAAATTTTCCGTATTTAGAAGATTTTCATGTTGGAAATATATCGTGAAAATTAGATTCTTTGGGGAAAACATTTACCTCCTAATAAATTATACTTGTGATGGGTGACATGGAAAACAATTCAGTTGCATACAGTTTTTGTGCAAAAAACTGTAAAAGAAGCTAATCATGATGGAGATTTTGGAATTACGCTGGCAGAACTGTGGGGTCTCAGGGAGCTCAGGTCATACAAAAAAGATCGGAAACTATGGAGATGCCTACGGAATTTGAAAACATCTCCTAGTGAAGGTTTAAGTGAAAACCCTGCAGATTTAGAAAGGAGAGAAGCAGTGTTAGAAAAGAACTTTATATCTCCCAAAAAGCCAAAAACCTTTCTTTAGTTAATATAAGAAGCATTACAAGATGTCACTCTAATTATATTTGAAATTGCAACTGTAGTATCATTGGGCCTTTCTTTTTGTCACCCTCCACAAGGAAATTCAGCACTTTGTGGGGAAGTTTCTGTTGGGGAGGAAGAAGACAAAGGTGAAACTGACTAGACTGAAGGAGCCACAATCCTGTGATCGTGTATGGTATTAGTAACAGCTTTTAATGGTTGGAGTAAGGAAAAACAGTTTTGAGGTTTGCAAAGTTGAATTGAACAAGAATAGAAGTTCACCATTATTGAGGTAATCAGGTCATTCAGATTCCTGTAGCTGACATGACTGAGTTATTACTCAGATGAAGTATGGTGATCCTCTTTCAGCTGGTGTTAAACTTATTCAAGGCAATGATCTTAAAACTGATGAAAGCTCATTGACTAGTGAACCTGATCATGTGAAGACATCTTTAGAGGAGGATGCGTTACTTCTATTGGGTACTCACGTCATGGAAGGTTTTGGAAGAATGGTAGGTCCTACTATATGTGTAAATCCTCAAACCGGAATTACCTTTACCTTACTTGGAGCTGGGGGTGAAGAGGAAGAGAAGAAAGAAGAAAAAAGAAAAGAAGCAGGAGGGAGCTTTTGAGAATCACAGCAAAGCAAAAGCCCAGGATGGTGCAGCCATGGAAATGCAACCACTAAACAGTAAAGACGGTGGAAAAACAAAAAGCTAATTTGTCAAAAAAAAGAAAGAAAAATCTGTTTTATGCAGGAAACTAACAAAAGTGAGTTGTTCAGATTGACAAAGCAGGTGTGTTGATGCCTGTCATCAAAGCTGTGATTCTAGTTTGGGTCTGAAGGGTGTTTGGCTTTTGGTACTGGGAATCAAATTCAGTATCTTGTACTTGGCAGGCAGGCACTTATGCCAGTGAGCTACATCCCCAGCCCACAGCTATGATTCTAGTTTTATATTTTGTAACTGATAACCTAGGTTCAGAAGAGACCATGGCTTGCGGAGTGCACATAGATTTACATGCAGTATTTTGTGAAGTTCTTCGTTATTGGAGTGACAGTTTAATGATTGCGGTGCCAGAAGATCTTCTACTCAAAGTCACTATTTTCACTGGCATGTTCAGTCAAGAAAATGATGAAAGATAATACCTTAAGCATCTGGATGCTGTAGAAAATGAAAATGCTACAGCTATTTGTTAAGCTTATCTAAGGAAAGAACGTTGACAATGAACAGAATGATACTTGTTCAAGCTTACACAATGAAAAACATGAAAAGATTCTTTTTTTTTTTTTTTTTTGGTCTTTTTTGGTTTTATCGGCAACAGGGATCGAACTCAAGGCTACCTGCTTGCAAGGAAGGTGCTTATGCCGCTGAGCTAAATCCCCAGCCCTATGAAAAGATTCTTGAACCAGAAACTATTCCACCAAATATTTTATTCTATCTTGCAATTGGAATTTCTGGGAATTGTGCTTATACATCAAAAATATTGCCACCGGAGAAAGAGGGTGGGTTACCTCATCAGGTTGGTAATGAAACTGAATCTTCCTTTTTAGGGTTTCTTTTGGATTTAAGATGAGACTATCTTAATGTTAGAAATGAAATACCAGCAGAAGCATTATACAAAGTCTACACCTTTAATCCTGTTTGGAAGTCCATGAATAGTGTCCTGAAAAATTCATATGGAAGCTATTGAATATTCAGCAAAGGTACCTCTGAGATAATTCTGGAAAAAAAAATGTTTCAAAATCTTAAGTGCTAATGTTCAGGCAAAAATATTCAGACCAAGGGACCATGATGATATTGTGAAAACTATGACTGAACCAATGGCATCAGAAGGTTTGAGAACCATGTCTTGCATTCAAAGATTTTTCCAGCAGAACCAGAACCAAAGTAGAATTTTTAAAATGGCATTATCAGCGGCCTTACATGCATTGCTATTGTGGGGATTGAAGATCCTGTGAGACCTGAGGTACCAGATGCAGTATTTCAGATTCTATAATCAGTAAGATATTTACCATTTCTGGTGCTTTCATTTGATACTGGAGACCTGAGTTTCCACCTGATATTTTCAGCCTGAACATTTTTTCTACTAATAGTCTGTTGATAATAAATTTTGTTGATTTTTTTAAATCTAGAAATGTCTTTATTTTGCCTTCTCCTTGAGGAATATTTTTTGTAGCTGTAGAATTGCAGGATGCCATTTTATTTTTGAGCACTCTGAGGATGTTCCTATACCTTCTGGACAAGTATAATTTCCATTAAGTAGTAATGTGGATAATGGTTCTCTTCTTTGTACAGTGTATTTGTCTTGATTACATTTCTCTTGTTGCTGAGACAAAATACCTGACACCCGAAATGAAGGAAAGAAAGGTTTATTTAGGTTAAAGTCCGCAGAGGTTTTAGTTCATACCTGGCTCCAAGACAGGTGGCATGCCTGCCATGGCTGAGGGGCAGCCGTTTATGGTGGCTGCAAGTGACAATAGCCAAAGGGCAAAAGGGAAGGGTAAGCCTCTTTCCTCCTTTATGTTGTACCTGGCTCCCTGCCCAGGGCAGGTGCAGCACTCACATCACCAATCCAATGGTAGGTAACAAACCATTCATAAACACTAGACTCACCTGCCTTCCACGGCCCATGCCACATGAGGCTTTGGGGGGACATTTACATATAAATCATAACACCTTATAGAATTTCTGTTTCTGTTTAAATTTCAGCAGTCTTTCAGTACTATCCTGATGGAGGTTTCCTCATATCTATCTTCACTGGTTTCCTAGAATATAAATTTTTGTTTTTCATAATTTTATGGGAGTTTTGGCCTTTATTTCCATACATATGTTTTTCACTCTATTCTGTCTTCTGTGCTTATCACATATATTTTAGATCTTTTGATACTGTCCTCATGTTCCTGTGATTCTGTCCATTGTTTCAAAAATTTGCTTTTCCCCCCTCTCTGCTTCAGAGTAGATAATGCTGTCTATCTATCATAAAAGTCATAGTCTTTTTCCTCAGTTATTTTGTCTGCTGATAAATGAATTTTTATCTTAGACATTTTACCTTTATGTTTAGGGCTTTGTTGTTGTTCTTTAGTGTTCCTGCTTTGTCACTAAAATTTTCCATCCATTGATTGCAAGTTCCTTTATGTCATTCCTTTATGTCATTACAATACAGTAAATGCTTTGAATTACTTGTATGTTAATTCCAGCATCTGACTCATTTTAACCATATTTTTGGAATAGGTCACATTTCCCTATTTCATTGTATTTTGATAAAGTTTGAATTGTATTC